CTGTGTGTCTGTCCGTCTGTCCATCTCTCTCTCTCTCTCTCTCTCTCTCTCTCTCTCTCTCTCTCTCTCTCTCTCTCTCTCTCTCTCTCTCTCTCTCTCTCTCTCTCTCTCTCTCTCGGAGCCCAGCCATATGCCAGGCTGACAAAGGCCCTTCTCTGATACATCTGCCAGCAACAGGGATGGGGTGGGGGAGATGAGTGGGAGATGGAGGAAGTGGCCTGGTGGGGGGGTATTTAAAAAGGGGGGGTTTGAATGTCTCCTCAGGAGGGAAGGAATGGGACCCAGGGCAGTTCTTAGCTGCCACCCCTCAGCGTTTCTCATCATTCATGGGAAAACGGCTGTTATTGGGGTCCAGCTGCCAGGAAATTTCTGGCTTGAAATGAAAGCCACTCGGGAAGGGCTTTTCAGCTGGCCCAACCTGTGATAAAGGACAAGGAACAGGAAATTAAAAGAGAGAGCTTTGGGGCCTCGGGCTGTATCCTGTGGAAGAAGGCACGCAATGGAGGGATGGGATAATTTTCCATTTGGAGGAGGGGATGATGCCAAGGTGTGTGTGTATGAGAGGGAGGGAGGGAGAGAGAGAGAGAGAAAGAGAGCAGTGGGAGAAAGAAAAAAAGAGAGAGAGAGAGAGGAAAAAGAGAGAGAAAGAAAAAGAGAGAAAAAGAGAGAGAAAAAGAAAAAGAGAGAGGGAAAGAGAGAGAGAGAGAGAGAAAGAAAGAAAGAAAGAAAGAAAGAAAGAAAGAAAGAGAGAGAGAAAGAAAAAAGAGAGAGAGGAAAAAAGAGAGAGAGAAAGAGAAAGAGAGAGAAAGAAAGAGAGGGGGGAGAAAGAGAAAAAGAGAGAGAGAGAGAGAGAGAGAGAAAGAAAGAAAGAAAGAAAGAAAGAAGGAGAGAGAGAGAGAGAAAGAAAAAAGAGAGAGAGGAAAAGAGAGAGAGAGAAAGAGAAAGAGAGAGAAAGAAAGAGAGGGAGGGAGAAAGAGAAAAAAAAAAAAGAGAGAGAGAATGAGAATCCCGTCTGGACCAAGCTATTTGAGTAGCTCTCACGGTTGCCCAGTGTTCTGTTCTGTTCTGTAAGGCCACATTATACAATTTTTCCTGATTCCTAGCACAGCTGCTTTTGACTGGCTGCATGTAATGCAGAAATTCAACGGGCATAGGATTGGGTTTTGTTTTTTTTTATTTTTTTGAGTGTCAACTGAAATCATTTATACGACAGATAGTCCTCAACTTACAATTCATTTAGTGAAAAAAAAAAGTGACTTTCAACCGTTTTTCACACTTAATGACTGTCGCAGCATCTCCATAGTCACGTGATCAAAATTCAGACGCTTGGCACAACTGGCTCATTTTTGTGATGGTCACAGTATCCTGGGGTCATGTGATTCCCCCTTTGTGGCCTTTTGACAAGCAGAATCAATGGGGGAAGCCAGGTTCACTTAAACCAATGTGTTACTAATTTAACACCTGCAGGGATTCACTTAACACCAAAAAGGCAAAAAGGTCCTAAAACCAATAACAATTAATTCCTATAATTCTATAGTCCCTATAATGGCTTTGCTTGATTTTCTCTTCTCTTCTTCCAATAATATTCTCTTTTGCCAACCTTCAATTAATGCAGTTCTTAGTATTTGAATAAGTGGCAATTAAATGTAGACATTTTTCTCGTGTTTCTGCAAATAATAACCACATCAATGTAAAGCTTCTTTTCTAATCGCCTCATCATAGATCCTGTTTACAGAATTCTGATTTAAGTTTGCTTTCCCCACCATATTCAAAGCATTCTTACTGGTTAAGATTCTCTCCAAATTAGTTACACTTAAGTATTTCAGTCTTTTTTCTCATGCAAGCCATCCCAACACTTTTACATTTCTCGTATCTTAAAAAAAGAGAAAAACAACAACAGAGTAAACATTTCTTTTATATAAACCATCCCAACATTTTTTATATTTCTCAGGTCAAAAAACAAAACACAAAGGGAAAAAAAGAAAGAAAAAACACTCTGTTCCTTGAGGGGTTCATCCCTCTTAAGGTTTTTCATGCTGCCCTGTCTGGTTCCTCATTCCTTATGTCTTTCTTTTCCCCTCCCTTCTCTTCCTGCTTGTCTAATTTAGAGAATATTTGGTAGGATTTCACCCACTGTTTCTCTAGAAACATTTTGGGCAGAAGGTTGAAAGTGTCTTAAATCTGCTTTTGTGGCATCTTTGTCTGGCTTCATGCTTCATTCTAACTTTGTGTTCTGCTTCGTTTCCCACAAAAAGAAACCCTCCTGTTAGTGTGATTATGTTTCCATTATCTCTCGCATTATGTTTGATCATTCTAATTTAAAATAGTAAGAATTGATGGTGAATGATGATGGTGATGATAACCCCAGCAAAAAAACCAACAACGATAATAATAATAGAAAGGGTCATTTAATTTCTTACTGGTTGTTTTTCCAAGAGCTAATCTACAGAAACAGAACAGTTGGGTCTCCTTCGTGCCAGTGAGACTAGAGAGATGAGACCAAAAAGAACTTCTAGTTCTTCAAACAGAAAATCCCAAAAAATCTGGAAAAAAACCTCTATAACGAAAGATTATACACATTAATTATACAAAGTGAAGGGGTGGAAAGAAACTGTTCTTTAGTTAATCAGCTCTTCCCTGTCCCACGGAGTTTGCATCACTGAACACTTCTGAAAAGATTGGATATAAATGCTTTTAATTAACTTTGGGTTCCGTAATCATCTGCAGAACAGGAGTGTTTTCATTAAGTAAAGGATGACAGCAAAAGGGCAAAAGGCAAATAAATCTCCAGCAGTGAGAAGAAGGTAGGTAGGAACCCTGTGTTAGCAGGAAGTTTCAGTTAATGCCAGCTGAGCTTTATAGTCTAAAGTGGTCTAAACTGGTTCTGTTGTCAGGGTTTTTTTAAAAAAGATTATATATTCACTCTGCTAAGATAACAATGTCTAAAATATATATTCCTCTGAATGGGAACAAATCTCTAATGTAACATTTCTTGAATGAAAGGTATTAATAACGATCACTCAGACTAACAATTGCTCACAAAGGTTACCTCTTACAGGTAAGTCCTTGACTTACGATCACAATTTGAGTCCAAAATGTATATTCCTAAGGGAGACATTGGTTAAGTGAGTTTTGCCCCATTTGACGACTTTTCTCGCCATGTTTAAGTGAACCACTGCAGTTGTTAAGTTAGTAACATGGTTGTTAAGTGATTCGGGCTTCCCCGTTGACTGTGCTTGTTCAGAAAGGGGATCACCTGATCCCGGGGACACTGCAACTGTCATAAATATGAATCAGTTGTCAAGCATCCGAATGTAGATCTCAATGATTAAGGGGATGTTGCAACGGCCATGTGAAAAATGTCCATAAGTCACCTTTTTCAGTGCCATTGCAACTTCAAATGGCCACTAAATGTTGTAAGTTGAGGACTACTCGTGCCTTGATCTGAGTTAAAGGGAAATTAAGAAGTTGACTGATTGATTGCCATCAAGTTGGTGTCAACTCTTACGCAACAAATAGAGAAATGGTCTTCAATCTGATCCTTCAAGTCTTCTAACAATGCACACAACATGACAGAACATTACCAAAAAAAAAAAGTTTGGCTTTGATTTATTTATTTATTCATTTATTACTTATTTACTTATTTATTTATTTAGTGCACTTTTTAGTCAGCTTTGGACTCCTGGCGACTGTCTGGAAAAGTCCCTGCAGTTTTCTCAGCAAAATTTTGGGAGCAGTTTGCCACTGCTTTCTTCCTAGGGCTAAGAGAGAGTGACTGGCCCATGGATACCCAGCTGATTTTTATGCCTAAGGAGAGACTAGAACTCAGAGTAACCCAATTTTGAGCCTAATTCCTGCATTTATTACAGAGTGGGGAAAGTGATGGGATGAAGTAGTTGCTGCAATGCTAGCAAAAGTATCATCTTTAACTGGAGGTCAAACTCACGATCTCTTCCTATTCATAGCTACTACATAATTCTTGAAACAATTCAGTTTAGGCGCCTGTGGGTGGGAAAATCCTAAGGTCTCCAGACAGAAATATTTTAGGGCAGTTTGCGAGATGCTGAATCCATAAGCCACGATTTCCTGAATAAACGATTGAAGATGGGTTCACAACACACTAAAACAAGAACAAAACAATGAAGTTGGCTTAGAAACTGCATCAGTCAAGTTCTGATGCTACAGCTGAAGGCAAAAGGCTTGTAGTGTTTCATCCAGTTGTCTTCTTTCAGTTGTTCTGTAGGTATCCAGCTGCTAATGGAATTATGGAGGTTTTTTTTTCATTATTCTGTAGATCAGACTCCCCCTAGTGTCTTGATTTAGAGGAGTTATAAACTTAAGCAATCGTCTCTCCACAGAGGACTAGGACATCTGGATTTTGTAAACCCTGCACATCTAGATGGCACTGATTTAAGGGAGAGGGGCTAAGCAGTTAACCTTTATGCTCCAGAAGTAACAGCTTTTTTTTTTAAAGATATTTTAAGATCTTTAACATGAGCTCTAAAATCCGATGCTTTAACTTAATTCAATACAGATTCTCATTATAGGCTGAATTTGTAAGCTGCAAAATAGGTCTGGCTTACAGAACGCTGCCTAAACAACAAAAAACCCATAACGTTTAAAATTTAAACAAAATAAAAAAGAAAGATAACCTAGAGACAAGATCTTTTCAGTGGTGGCCCCCACACAGAGGAACGTCATGCGCCTGAAAAAAAATTCAGGGTCCCTACTCTTCTGATGTTTCCAAATGCCTTAAAATTATTCTTTTTAATGAACTGATGACTAGTTGAAGATTCTCAGCAGCCATTTGACTGTCCAACGGAACGTTTTTATTGTTCTTTACTTCCTAGAGTCTCTACAATTTAGGCAGCCAGTAAATATTGTAAAGAAAGTAAGAATCGGGTTGAAAATGAATCCAGCTAGTAGTAGTCGCCTTGAACTGTGAGAAGGGCAGCAAATAAATTTAATAAATAAATAAATGAGGCCTCCAAACACAGACATTGCAACAAACATTTCTTTTTAATTAGGATGCCTTTTCTTTTCTTTTCTTTTTTAAAAAAGTCATCTGTTCACACATTCACAAAAGGGTTCCTTTTATATTTGCCACAACACAACTCTGATAGCATTTCTTTAAACATAATTCAGAGGATTTTGTAAAATACGTTAATATGTAGAAAGCCAGCAACTCTCTGTATTTCTGGTCTGGAGAAGGATACCAAGGGTTAGTGCAAATACACATAGTGTGAATAACGCTTAGGGTTACTTCACAAAAAAAAAAAAAAAGGAAGTTCTGCCTTGTACTCTATGTCTTTGTAACAGTTTCTCACCAAATGTTTCTGAGCACATGCATACGAACACAAAACTGCCTGAGTTCTAAAGACACTGGGCTGTAATCAAATAAAAAGTGCTACGCTTAAGGATCTCTGAAATCAATAAACACCATCGCAATTTAGTCCCTGATTCCTAAAAGATTTAAAATCAGCTTGCATTCATTTGGGGCCATCCTCAAAACTTTGTGGAAACTTTGCTTCTATGCAATTGAGTGTTTCCGTGTTTTATAATTATATTCTCAAGTGCATTGGGTTTAATATGGAAGAGTTAACACAGAATATAAATATATTCTCAAATACGTTGGGTTTAACATAGAAGAGTGAGAAATATAGAGGCCCTTTCCACCGGAATTAGATATTTTTCATACAAGCTCAGTTTAGTTCTTTTCATACTGTCAGCTGGAGAATTTCTACAGACACAATTTATAACCCTAATTGGACTCCAGTTCTCCGTGTCTTCTCCTGCGGTCTATCACCAGAGTGAAAGCTGAAATGCAATTGTCAGTCATATTCTGTCCTAGAAGACAACATGTCTAAAGTGTTGTGTTTGGCAACAGGCTACAACACAAAAGAGCACTGCAGAGAGCCTGCAGAGACGTGCGTCTGATTGGAAGACGTTGTGGACATTTGTTTGATAGTGGCTGGGAATCCAAATGCATGAAGGGGAACAAGCCCACCTTATTTTCCTTTAGCAGCAGAACCGGGGAGCAACCACTCCCTCTTTAGAAAAGTTTGGGTATTTTCAAGACATCAAAGGGTGTCAGTTTTCTGATGGTTGCCACTACCTTCTCTTGCGCAGGCAAATTTCAAGTCTCCCTAATTCTTCATGTGATTGGTAGAAAAGGTCAAAGTCTTTGGCTCCCCAACTCCTCCAGAGAGCCAAGCACCATTCCATCGACTCATTTCTGAAGCAACACACAACCCTGTCTTTGGCCAGAACAGCAGCATCAACCAGTGACCTGAAAAAAAAATAAAAATAAAACACTGACTTACAAAAGAAAATTTCTTTGTAATAATGGCTATTGCACAGAGATAAGCCTACTTTGATCTCTAAATGGTACATCTTCCCCTTTCATGATGCTTAACTAATTGACAGTATATACCAGGAATAAGAAAACCTGACATCCACCGAAAGGTTTAAATAATTCTGATAAATTGTGGCTCCGTAAGATTTGATAGAGTCAACTGTACCAGTTTAAAAATCCAGAATAAATTATGCAGTGATAAAAATAAACTACTTGCATAATGCATCCATCTCTCAGAGAAACAGAGAAGTGAACAGTGTCTAGAAATGTAATGTTTTTTAGTAAGGATACGCACAACTGGTCAATCCAGGAATGGACCATTCCAGAGAACCCTGTTTCCCTCTAGACCATGTCAAACCATCTCCAAAGCTTGCATCATGCTGCATGAGAGGAGTGAGGAGAGATGGCAGTTTCTGAAAGTCAATTCTCCAAATCAGAAGGAGCCAAGTTTCCCATTTTTAGCATGATATTGTAGAAGGACAGGCAGAGCCTGGAAGGGTGGAGTTAAGAGAATAATCAGTCTAGAATCGTTACGTTCCCACAAATGGGAACGTAATGATTCTAGACTGATTATTCTCTTAACTCCACCCCTCCAGGCTCTGCCTGTCCTTCTACAAATGCTTTAAGTCCAACCCTTCTTGAATTCCACTGGCTCTTACCTAGTGCCAATTTTATGCTATTAGTTGACTAGATTCTTGTGTATAGGCATGAGCAATGCATCAGACTCACATGTGGTCCTGATACTTCACATCTGATAGATATATACATTTTCTTCTGTCATTGTTACAAAGTTAAGTTTAAGCTTATGTTTTGTCTTGGGGCAGAACATGATCTTTGCTGAGTAGCCTTTCTCTGCCTAAAATTAACCTTTTCTTTGTGGACCAGTCACTCCCAGCATCATTTTTCTTTCCAATTCCCCCTTACCCATAAGAGGCCAGCTCAACAGCCTTCAGCACAGCGATGACTCTCCCCCGCTGAGCAATGGCTTCCTTCTCCAGGCCAATCACAATGATATCACCACCTTGCCTAAAATGAAGGAACAAACTGGTTATGGACTTTGGGATACATCAAAAGGAAATTAGGAGAGAAGACTTTGTGGAAGAGGCAGATCTTAACTGGGATTTCCAGATTCACGGATGAGCTTCGTCTCTTCCCCGATGTTAATTCAGCCATTAATAATGGAAAGATCAGATCCAGACTACATTTACTCCACCATCTTGTTCCCCAAAGTGGGCAACTAGATATTTACACAGAACCCAAAAGAAGGACATGAAAGAATAGGGTTTTTTTCCCCTCATGAATGTTCTCCAATCAGCCTTCCCTCCTTCCGGGGTAGGTAAAATGAGGACCCAGATTGTTGGGGGCAATGTAAATATATATATACATTGCTTACTGGTGTACACCGCTTAGAGAGTGCTTGCACTTAAAGCGGTATATAAGTCTCATAAATAAATAAATAAATCATCAGGATTCAATAGACTTTGGGGAAAAACAGCCTTAGATTCATATAAGCTTTTTAAAGAATTTCTCTAATCTGGACCACTGGCCAATTTTTATGACATGAAATCTTGAACCCTTAGTATATTCTATGAGAATGTCAGATGGGAATCTGAGAAAAATATCATCATAATAAAATCTTTAAATAGCAAGGGGAAGGGGACAAGCAGTCTTTCAACTAAATTTCATGCATTCTCTTTCGGTTCCCAACAAAATTTCTCCGAGAATATGAGAACTTTGGAAATTGCTATGGCTTTAAATGCAGGTAAGCGGTGTGTTGAAAGTTTCACAAGATTACCATGATTTTCAAAAATAATTTATCTGGATGGATGAGGACCTCTAAACCAGAGGTCCCCAACCTTTTGGGCACCAGGGACTGGTTCCATGGGGAAAGATTTTTCCGGGGACCGGAGAGCATGTGGGTTTTATGTACTGCCTGCATCCCATGGATGGGGCTTTGCTTGTTTGTGCGGACCAGTTGCTGGCATGCTATGGCCCTGTACCAGTCCATGGACTGGGGGGTTGGGGACCCCTGATGTAAACAATTAGCATAGCTCCCAATTCAAGTGAGCTCTGAAAACTGTGCTCACTGTGGCTCCCGACACAATTTACCTGGGAATCCACAAGAGATCTTTTACAGGTAGGATCCGCACAGCTTGGAGACATGTTTCAGATTTCTCAGAAGGAAGTTTGGGCTCCTGAAGCTTGTTGAGCTCTTCATAATCAGTCAAGAAAGGTGTGCTGGAGGAACTTGTGGGTGAGCTTGGGAGACTTGAGGAAGATCTCAGCATCCTGTTGGGAGATGATGGCGAGTAGGAGGACACAGAGCAGTAATCTGTCAGGGAGTCCTGATGATTTAGTATTTGAGTGCCAAGCTCCTGACTCTGAAGGATGCTCACATTGGCCAAAGAGGTGCTTTCAGGAGCCACATCCCTGGTTGCAGTTAGTGTTGTAGGGATCAAGGTTGACGGTTGCTGAATTGTGAACATGTCCCTCAGGGGGCTACGATCCCCACAGAAGTATCGGGCACAGAGCTGGTAGGCAGAGGTGTAGTACATCACCAGGAAGTTGGTGGTGTCATCTAAACACCAGGTCACTTCTTCCCCATTGCAATCTGAGCTGCACACAATGGATACCACGGTGGATGGCGGACTGTAAGGCTCCAGTCGCCTAGTGATTTCCATGGCTTTACAGTCTATGATCAGGACACCAGGGCCATTGCTGTACCAGACCTCTGCCCCGCTGTTAGCCATTTCCATAGCTTTCACAGGGTAAGGATTCTGGCGGGGGTCATCATCACTGATACCGAACAAGGAGCGGTTGGCTGTGTGGGAGCAAAGATAACCGCAGTTGTCCTCCAGGGCACCACTCGTGACTTGGAAAACTGCAATCAGTCCATCAGATAAACCAGCCAGGACCACATAGAAGTTCTAAATGAAAACAAACATAAATTCTAGACAAAGGCTTTGAGCATCTATAGCAGGGGTTCTCAACCTTGGCAACTTTAAGACTTGTGGACTTCAACTCCCAGAATTCCTCAGCCAGCTTTGCTGGCTGAGGAATTCTGGGAGTTGAAGTCCACAAGTCTTAAAGTTGCCAAGGTTGAGAACCCCTGATCTATAGCTTTGAGCAAAGACTCAAGGGGCATCTAATACTATCTTCCTAAAGTAGGTGGCAGTTTCTGATTTCTGCTCAACCATTAGTATTAATAATAATCTTCTCAATGATTCTTTCATTTGGATGCCAAATTGGGATTTTAATGTAGATTTTATTTGCTATTTGTTATTTTATTCTGGAATTTTTAACTGGATATTCCTTGAGTTTCAACTTGCTCCGGTCTTGGACTGTAATAAACATCGACTGACTGACTGATTTCTTTTTAATAATTCTTTAACATACGTAATATCACATCACATAAGGAAACAAAATACAAGTAGACCTCGACTTATGATTACCACTGAGCCCAAAATTTATGTTGCTAAGTGAGACATTTGTGAAATGAGTTTTGCCTCATTTTACGATCTTTCTTGCTACAGTTGTTAAGTGAATCACTGGAGTTGTGAAGTTAGTCTTGTACACAAAAAAAAAGATGGAAATCAAGGAATAACAATTGAAATGAAAGCTAAAAGGAAGCTTGACTTTGACTAATCTTCAATTTCATGGTGTATTTGTACAATCAGGACATAACCAAGCATTATATAGCAAGTAATTAATCTTGCTATTTATCATTATAGTGCTATCATTTCAATATATCTTTAAATAATGCTCTCCTTGCTGTTTTACTAATGAATGTAAAAATCTTTGAGAGAACAATCCATCTTGCTAAAAAGGAGTTTAAAATATCCACCAGTTAGATAAAATGAATAAAAAGTATGAAAAGATGGTAGCCCCTGATTACAAAAATAATCCATGAGCCTCCATAAAAAAGCTTGGTAACAAATTCCCAGTAAGAAAGGAGAAAGAAAACACACAGTCGTAAGATCTGGAGTGGAAAAATAATTACCTTTGAGGCAGAATTTCCACATATTCCACCCACCTCTGCATGATCCATACAGGAAAACAAAACTGTGTTTAAACAGCTTTAATATTCCTAGCAAAGTCCAGCTGATCAAACTTTTTTAGTTCCAAAACTATTTTAAAGTAAGATATTGTTCCAAAGACGCCTTTAAGAATAGTTTTGGAGAAAAAGGAGAAATGAAACTAGACTGTTAAAATCTCTTTTTTTCTTTTCCTAATTCTAATCATGGATGATGAACTAACAAAGGAAAGACTAGGATAGACTGTTTGCTTAGTAAGATCCGAAGGAGATACACTCACTGCAAATTCAGTCACTGACTGAGGTAGAGGATATGGGAACCAGTAGGAAAAGTGATACTTAGGTTGTATGGCTGCCCAACTTATAAAAACAACAACAACTCTGGGTAACTCACAACAATAAAACTCAGAACTACAAAACCCATAAATTATAAAGCTATAAAACCAAGTGGCTACTACTAATGATGAGGGTAAAAAAACTGATTCTGTTGATATTTTGGTAAACTAAGGCTGGCCACGTCATGTATTATAAAGCTGAAGAAATGCAACTTCTAAACTGGAGCACTCTGAGTCTCCATCAAGAATGACATTTTTCATTCATCCAGATTTAACTGTCAAATCCTGAGCATGGAAAAGTGATAAGGATACCCTTTATCAGATATTTACTTATGACAGAGTTTGTTTTTTGAGTAAAGCCACATAACCAATCCAAAGAGAAACTTTTTATTGTATAATCATGTTGATCAAGGTTTGAGCAGTTGTGCAGGAGATGCATTATACTCTTCTCTTGATGCAACAGCAAACTAGGACATTTAAAGGCTTTGTAGAAGTAATAATATCTGGCCAAAGTGAGCAAAGAGTACAAGTAATCAAAGTAGGCAAAGAGAAGAAGTAGTTTGGTCTAGTGGTTAAGGCACCAGAAAGCATTAGAAAACAAGAGATTGTCAGTTCAAGTCCCACCTTAGTCATCAAAGTCAGCTGAGTGACCTGGACCAGTGCCCTTTCTTAGCCCAACCCAACCTCACAAGATTGTTGTAGGGAAAATAGGAGAGGGAATTTATTTGCCACCTTAGTAATAATAAAGGTGGGATTTAAACAAATAAATAAAATCTTGATTATTATGTGTAGAAATAAGCTTAAAAGAATCTTGCCACGTGACTCATGGATTCATTCCAACATTACAATATCTTAGTAGTCTACAACTCCATTATGTACTGTGAGTTATACCAAGTTTATAGGACAGCGTATATTTTCCCTTTATTAGAGAGATTGCCAGAGCGGGCAGACAATTTTTATGTAGGCTTTCTCCTCCAAGACTCAAACCCTTCTTTCACACATGCAGTGGCAAAATACTGTGTTGCGGCAATGTCCACAAGAAAAAAATTGGTTACAGATTTATAGTCGTCAATTTGTGCCAATTTTTTGGAGATATCTCTAATAATGTTTGGAACATTATATTTACTCACACATTAATCGGCTATCCACTCACATAAATTAGGGAGTGACCCTAACATTTTAAGAACATGTATTTTCTTAACAGGGATGTTATTATTTACTATTAATGTTAGTACTATTTTTATTATTATTATTATTACTATTATTATTATTATTTAATATATTGTAAAAAGTGATGGCTATTGCTGGTCTACGACCGTAATAAAATTTATTATTATTATTATGCCATACCCACATCTAGCACTACCCTCAAATCTTGCCCTGACTTAATTTCAAAATTTATGTCTGAGACAAATGAACTGCACAAAATGTGCACTGAAACAGGGGGCTTAATTCATTCCTCAACCCAGCAGCAGGTGGAAGTATTGCTTTAATTCTGCCATTAAATGGACAACTGTTCAGGTGTCTTCAGCTACAACATTCACATTTTATTTTGGGTATGCTTGGAAGTTATGAGGGCCTTGTGTTCGAAATCTCTTTTGCTTTACCTTTTTCATCAAAGGCACTGCAAGAAAACAGGTGACAACAGCTGGGGTGTCTACGCCTTTCTGTGGAACTTTCAGAGGACACATTCCTTGTAAACTATATATATAAATCTTCTGTTCCTGCAGGAGATGAAAAGAAAGCGGATTTCAATAGTGTTTACGCTGCCCCCTTTCCCAAGGATGAAAATATGGAGAAATCGTTTGAAAGAAAAAAAACGGAGAGTTATCTATCTCAATGTGGACAAAATCAAAAGTTTAATGATAAAGCTTCCTGTGTATCTATGGAGATTCTCCATCATCCAGGTCATAGTTGTCCCAAAGGTGCTTTTTCACAAGGCAACTGGACTTTCCTGTTTTTCTTTGACGACGTTTCGCTTTTCATCCAAGAAGCTTCTTCAGCTCTGACTGGATAGTATGGAATGGAGCTCTCAGAGCTGAAGAAGCTTTTTGGATGAGAAGCGAAATGTCTTCAAAGAAAAAAAAAATCTAGTTGCCTCGTAAAAAGCATCTTTGGGCTTCCTGGGCATCCATTTCTTAAATTGCAATCGCCATTTTTGTTTTCCTTTACTGTCTCTTGTCAAGAGGAGAATGTAGGGATACAAGTGACATGGAATGTAAGCTACTCATTTGAAACCTCGGTTCCAGTAATTTCTAATCATACTGTCACCGAGAAAAGGAGATTGACTTATTCTTCAAAGCAGCAGAGGGGCCAGACAAGAAGTAACACCTGGAAGATTATTGAAGAGACATCCAGCCTCGAAATACACAGAAATTGTCTGACAGCGAAAACCACTGATCAGTGGAACAGCTTTCCTCCAGGAGTGAGTACTCCATCACTAGAGGTTTTAAAAAATAGACTGGGCATGGTATAAAGTCTCCTGCCTTGAGCAAGGGTTGGACTAGAAGACCTTCAAAGTCTTTCCAGCCTTGTGATTCTATATTCTACATCTGACCAACTTGACAATCAGTTTAGCAAATTTCATGGCTAAAGCTCTCCAATCCTTATAATCAAGTTCAATTTTTTTTCCAATTTATTATTACAGCTGAAGGCCAACACATAAATTAAACATTCAAATAAAACAAAACTAAACAGAACCGCCAACACAAGAAGAGTTCAAATTCAGAAGACATGGGATGAGACATACCTCTGTTGCGGTCCAAAGAGAATTCTGAAGTTTCAACTGGCAGCATAGCTTCATTCCTGGACAACTCATTTTGGAAACCTCTATGAATCCTTTCTCTGTATTTACTACGGTGTAGTTCCTGAAATCAGGAAGGGGAATGAAATCAAAAGGCACCACCACCAGCAGGACAGCCTCAGTGGGAGGCAAAGAAAAAACACAACTCTGTGTGGGTTTGATTTTTTTCCCCTAAAAATACATCTCATCATAGTTTATTGATCAGATTATTGCATGGCTTTTTCTCCCAGGAGATTACAAAGCATTCCCTCCTCTCACTTTTCCACATGTGACGTACGTTGGATTAAAATAAGACTACATGGCCCAGAGGACTTTCATACTTGAGGATAATCTTGAATTTGGTTCTCCCTATCCTAGCCCAACTCCCTCATCATCATGCCACACCAGTTCCTATGGTCACCATTTAGTTCTTATTATTCCTCCTCCTGATATAAGAACATAGTTCCCTCACTTTGGAGAGAAGAAGGACATGTAATTTAGCAAGATAACTGTGGATACAAAATCAGGATCTGCAAAAGAAACTAGCCGAGACTATAAAATTTAAAAGGAAAATACTTAGGGACTTTCTGCTGATACCAGACTGAAAAGATGATGTTTTCTGGATTTTGTTTATGGATAACAGGTGGGCTATGGGATGAAAAAATGAATGCATATAACTTTAGAAAGTAAATTTGTTTATATTTGTGATGAAGTTTGGTAGTCGATAGATGATAGATAAATAAGATAGATAGATAGATAGATAGATAGATAGATAGATAGATAGATAGATAGATAGATGAAAGACAGATAGATAGAGATAATAGAGACAATATACAGATAACACAATATCTTTATTATTCTTACTTTTCTTTTTCTTTCATTTCTTTTTGCTTGCACTTTTTATTTCAATTTCTTTTCTTTAAGTTCAGTTTGTATTGTGGAATCAAAATTCATGTACATATGTATATCCAGTAGCACTGGACTAAGGCAATCTTAGCCTTTAGCCTTCTTAGTGCCTTTTCATTATTATTTGTGTTTTTTATCATTTTTTTTTATCAATCAGAATAGAGCTGGAAGGAATCTTGAAGGTCTTCTAGTAGTCCAACCCTCTGCTTAAGCAGAAGACCCTATATCATTTCAAATAGGTGGCTGTCCAGTTTTTTCTCTTTTTTCCTTTCCCCCTTTTTTTTGCCCCAGTGTGAACCCCAAATCTTTGTTTTCCTGGCCCAGCAAATCTAACGTTGTGTGCTGAAGTTCTGCACTTCCCCAACTCTGATTCTTGTCCTGCTGCCCATCTTCCATGCCCACAATTTATGTATGTAACCCAATCTGAAGTTTATCCATAATGTTTGTAGATCTATCTTCAAACATTATATGAGCAGAACGTATCCAAAGAGGAACAAAGAACTTGTTTTTCCACTAACCCACAAGAAGATGATTCTGTTTGTGTTTGCAGGGGGAAAACCGCAAAGAACTCATAAATTTAATCACTGAATACTGGACATCTTTAAAAGACTGGAGACAAAAAAGACACTATGCAGCTAAATATTTGAATCAGATGTGCTCTCTTGGTTTTCTGCCCTGCGTGAAAACACACAAACGAAACAGTGAAGTATGGGGACTGTTGAAACCTTTTGAAAATGAGTAATCCATTATTCTCAACCTGGTCAGTTTATCTTGGTAGTGTATATAACGGTCATTTTATTAGCACATTCACAGGGCATTTGTAAGGAACTTATAAACGGTTAAGAAACCCTTTTGAGGGAAGCATGGATACTGTAAGTTGCCAAACATGGAAGGTTCAAACTGAAAACGCAGATGGTTCTTTTTCTAATGGCCCAATAGATCATGTTCTTCTATTACGGAATAGGACAACTCTCCACAACCCACTCACCATAGGACAATTCAGCAATTCAATTTAATTATTTAAAACAATTTTAAAAATTATTTTAACTTTTCTCATTCACATTTCATTTTGTCCCTTTTTTTTGCATCCTTTATTTAATGATTCTATTCCACCATTTCTTCGATTAGTGTAACTCTTGACTCGTGGTAAGTTGGTCCTGGTGAGTTTTTGTAAATGTCGTCTATTAATGAGACCAAATGGACCATTGATTTCTTTCCTATTTGGGCCACCCAGCAGATCTCAGATATTGCATCAGCTACCCTCCATAGGATGCCTTCCATATGGGTGGGGAACTAATACCCATCATTTCCAGCTAGCAAACTAAAGGCCATGTTCTTCAGGACCTACAGGCAATAATGGTCTAACCCATTATCATTTTCAGTCTGAACAAAACAAGTCACAGGTACTAACAGAAGAAAATATTTGTAGTCACAGGGTTGAATTGTGGGGTCTTTGGCGCTCTCTAAGCTTGAGAGTTTTCTTACAAAAAAGAAGAAGAAGAAGAAGAAGAAGAAGAAGAAGAAGAAGAAGAAGAAGAAGAAGAAGAAGAAGAAGAAGAAGAAGAAGAAGAAGAAGAAGAAGAAGTAGAAGAAGAAGAAGAAGAAGAAGAAGAAGAAGAAGAAGAAGAAGAAGAAGAAGAAGAAGAAGAAGAAGAAGAAGAAGAAGAAGAAGAAGAAGAAGAAGAAGAAGAAGAAGAAGAAGAAGAAGAAGAAGAAGAAGAAGAAGAAGATGATGATGGAAGGGACTTTGGAGGTCATCTAGTCCAACCCTCTGCTCAGGCAGGAAACCCTATACCATTTCGGACAAATGGCTGTCCAGTCTCTTCTTAAAAACCTCCAGTGTTGGAGCATTCACCGCTTTTGGAGGCAGGTTGTTCCATTGGTTAACTGTTCTAAGTTTCTCCTTAGTTTAAGGTTGCTTCTCTCCTTGATTCGTTTCCATCCGTTGCTTCTTGTCCTGCCTTCAGGCGCTTTGGAGAATAGCTTGATGTTTCATTACCCAACCAGGTAACTTCAGTGGTGAGTTGATGATGTTACGTAGTCTGGTTATGAAATGTCTGCAAGAAAACCTCTAAGCTCAGAGAGCACCAAAAGACCCCACAAATCACAGTGTTTGGGATAAGAAAGAGGGCGAAGAAAAAACTTCGCACAGTATTTGAGGACAGGTTCATTATCAACAGCTATTAACAGAAATACTGAACAAACTATCTATTTACATTGCAGAGAACATAAGGAAAGTTTTTTTTTTAAAAAAAATAAATAAATACAAACCTGGTATCTTCTTTTTCATCCCAGAATACCACGGTGTGGTCCTGTCCTTCAGAAGAAAAGAAGGACTGTTTCCCACATGGCAACAAATACATGAATGTGGCAAAGGAAGGACTTTTCATTTGCCCTATTACCGAAATGGCTACGGGCCGCTGTATAAAAGAAAGGTTAGACTTGAAGAATAAAGTTTATATAACAATCTACCAATCACTGTTTAGATTTATAGGCTGGATTTACCCCAAATGCTAAGCCATCAAGGCTGCGGCTTGACCAATAAACCATAGTTTAAAGAAACCCATTATTTAGCCTGACATGTGCACCCATCTTATGAAACAATCAGGCCGAAGCATCCACTAAGGGACAATGTGAGTGTGGTAGCAACGATCAACCAAAAAAATAGATTAAAATTAGGTTTCTGTAACTTAACGCCTTGCAGATGTACTGAACCACCATTGCAGTGTCTCACTCAAATAGTTGACTGAGACAATGTGATTTTTTTTTTATCTGACATACATGGATAACTTTAACCTGGACAAGGCGAATTTTAGGGATCCCCAACTTGTTATGCTCTACAGGTAGTCCTTGACTTACAACCACAATTGAGCCCAAGTTTTCTGTGGCTAAATGAAACATTTGTTAAGTGAGTTTCGTCCCATTTCTACGTCCTTTCTTGCCACAGTTGTTAAGGGAATCCCTCCAGTTACAAAGCTAATGACATAGTTGTTAAGTGAATCTGGCTTCCCCATTGATTTTGCTTGTCGGCAAAGGGTGATCACTGGGACAGCGCAACCATCATAAGTACATGTCAGTTGCCAAGCATCTGAAGTTTGATCACGTGATCACAGGGAATGCTGCAACGGTCGTAAGTGTGAAAAACGATCATAAGCCACTTTTTTCAACGCTGTTGTAACTTCGAACGGTCACTAAATAAAACTGTTGTCAGTTGGGGACTCCCTGTAGTTTTGGTCTCAAAGAATCTTGGGCGTCCAGCATTCGAGTTCAGAATGATTCTATCTACCGTATCTTTTCTTTATAGGGTTTCCCCTGAGCACCCAATTGACCACTGTTAGATACAGGATGCTGGCCAAGCTGAGTTCTTTACGTTTCGACAGCTCAGAATGAGATCGGACATCTCTGCCTACACACCGACAATCCTCTTGTACCTTTTCAGGTTTGGTGTCCCAACACTCCATCATGAGAGCCTGCAGCCGGTGGAACTGTACTTCCTCTGCCTGGCCCAGGACAGGCCGAACCCCCTTGGAGAGTTTCTTTGAAATTTGCAGCTGATGCTGTCCCAGGGTGGGACGTTGCCCTGATAGCAGCTCATACAACACCATTCCATATGAAAACATGTCCACCTAGGCCACAAAGAGAGAGAGAAACTTTGATTCAGAGTCCCGGCCGTGGGGAAAGCTAGGAAACGAGCATCACCTCTGCAGAGCTTTCTGATCCCACCAGCCTCAACCTGCATTTGACTGTGGGACTTGTGTTTCACCGGGTTGCTTCCCCCTTCCTTTGAACATCCCTTTTTGGGTTTCCCTTTATTTCCAAAGCCTGGAATAACAATCAGTGCAAAGGAGAGGGGGAAAAAAACCCAATAGGGGAAAAAGATGCAATTAAGATGCAAAATTAAGAGACACTGGGGAAAAGCACTGTGTCACACTTCCACATGAAACGGATGCAAACCCCATTTAAAAGGGAATGGAATCTAAGTCGGACCAAACTGCATTTTTGTATGTTCAGCCGCACAGCTAACCAGAGAAGGCATTGACCCGCCACCAACCCCACCAGCAATTCTCCTCCCAATGGACCTGATCTGATGTAACCTCTCCATCACAAGCCCCTCACTGATGACTCACACCTGACCCATCACAAGACCCATCCTTGAGACAGCCACACCTGAAGCCCTTATAAACAGAAGAACATGGACAATGATATCCTCTAAACTCCGCTGAAGATTTTACCTAGCCTGGTAACAAAATATTCAGAAACCAAGCCACAAGCTCGGAGAGCAAACCTTCACCCTCACTTTCGTATGTCGAGGTGTCCTAACGTTTAAGTCAGAGGACAAGAAATATTTTTATAAAGAGCAGCTTGCAAAAAAGATTGATCAGTCAAGAACCTATAGTTTCGCTTCTTGTCGTGTTGATGGGAAATCGGATCTTGATTCTGGCTCATATATGAGCCAGGAACTCTAGTTTGAATGGCACGGCAGCTTTCCCTCCGGTACCTTTTCGTCGTAGACAATGCGAGGTCGTATCTCTGGAGCCTGATAGCCAGGGGTGCCCTCCACCCCCAAAGCTCCTTCGTGGAAGGACTGCCGAGAAATCCCATAGTCGGATAGTTTGATGTTGATGCTTTCCTTTACGTCCAAAGACCACACCAGGATGTTGTCAGATTTCAAGTCGCAGAAAATGATCTTCTTCTTGTGAAGGTAGGCCAGGCCTGCTGCAATCTGATAGGCGACCTTGAAGGTCAGCATGGGTCCCAAAGGTACAAAGGAAGCCCCTGGAAGAAAAGACAGGAGAAAAGGCCCTCAGATTGTCAGCTGCACCGATGTCCCCTTCTTCCTCCAGGGGTGCAAAGGTAGGCGGGGAAGACCTTAGGAGAATGGCTGAAGAGATGCTGTCAAGGGAATGGTCAGATTAGGATAGGATAGGATAGGATAGGATAGGATAGGATAGGATAGGATAGGATAGGATAGGGTAGGGTAGGGTAGGGTAGGGTAGGGTAGGATAGGATAGAATAGAACAGAACAGAACAGAATAGAATAGAATAGAATAGAATAGAATAAGGAATAGAATAGAATAGAATAGAATAGAATAGGAATTTAGAATAGAATAGAATAGAATAGAATAGAATAGAATAGAAATTTAGAATAGAATAGAATAGAATAGAAATTTAGAATAGAATAGAATAGAATAGAATAGAATAGAATAGAATAGAATAGAATAGAATAGAATAGAATAGAATAGAATAGAATAGAGCTGGAAGGGACCTTGGAGGTCTTCTAGTCCAGCCCCCCGCTCAAGCAGGAGAACCTATACCATCTCAGACAAAAGACTGTCTAGCCTCTTCTTAAAAATCTCCAGTGATGGAGCGCCCATGATTTCTGGAGGCAAGCTGTTCCACTTGTTAATTATCCTCACTGTTAGGAAGTTTCTCCTTAATTCCAGGTTGCTTCTCTCTTTGGTCAGATAAAAGATAGCATAGCCCACAGCTGGATAATGGGTTGGGCAAGAAGCTCATAAGGGACTCCCCCTAGTTTCTTGGGCCGTATAGGAGACAGGAGGATTGTACTTTGTGACCTGTATTATTGGTGTTGACCTCCAGGGGTAAACCAGATATGAATGCCAACTAGATGAACTAATTCTACTTTATTACAAAGTAGAAATCTGAAAGTACAATTTTTTGGCTAAAGACCCCAAAGTGGACATGACTGGGCAGAAGATGTTTCTTTTACCTTTAGAGTTTTCTGACAGCACAGTAGTGAGGCTGCCCAAAGGAGCCAATTCTAAGGCCAAGCTGAGTGGGTGGATGCTGATCCCAATTAAGGAGACCACACATGGGTACTGCAGTGAATGGAGTATGCTGGCCTCCTGGCGGAACTCCGAGAAGCTCTTCATGGCATCCATCGCCTGTAGATGCCTCAGCATGGTGTCTAAGCAAAGAGAAACAGATGTGTATATAAAATCCACCCTCTTGGATCATATCCCAAGCCCATGAAATCCTGCATTCTCACAGGGGATGTCCAAATGACTCTTGCAAGCTGGTGGCCCAAGAGTTACTTTTGCAGGATGAATTTGCAAGCAGTGGTCAACTCAAAGTTGTTGCCCATGTTGCAATGCGCTGCTCTGAGATATAACAGAGACAGTCTTGCATCCTGCATTTTAATTATACTCAAGATGCTTTCAATACACAAGTGAGGAAGAAGGCAAGATGTGAGTCAAGATGACTTCATCTATTGTCTTTGTGAAAACCAAGTAAGAACAGAAGAGAGGTCTGCAGGAGAAAGCTTCAGCTCAGCAGAAGCACAGATCAATCAGTCAGTCAGTCAGTCCGTCAGTCAGTCAATCAGAATAGAGTGGAAGGGATCTTGAAGGTCTTCTAGTCCGTCCCTACTCAAGCAGTTCACCTTTTGTATTCCAGACAGATGACTGTCCAGTCTCTTAAAAATCTCTAGTAATGGAGCACTTACAACTTCTGGAGGCAAGCTGTTCCACTGATTAATTGTTCTCGTTGTTAACCAGGGGAACAGCGTGACTTCAGAAGTTGTGGCTGCTTCATCACTGGAGGTTTTTAAGATTCTTTCACAAATCCTCTGCATTCAAAACCACTTTTTCCCCAGTCCATACCTCCACACCACATCTTTCTTCTTGTTTCTCATCTGCAGCAAGCAAGTTGGAGGTATCTGCTTTTAATTCCTATTTGCCTGTTTCCATAAACTGGGCTCCGGCAGTCAAAACCCGTATCCCTTGTTCTCTTAATAGAGATAGTTTCTAGATAAGGTCTAAAACAGGGACTCCCCAACTTTGGCAACTTGAAGAGTTGTGGATTTCAACTCCCAGAGTTCCTCAGTCCAGACATTCTGGCTGAAGAATTCTGGGAGCTGAAGTCCACAGGTCTGGAAGTTGCCAAGGCTGGGGACCCCTGCTCTAAAAGCTATATTTAAACAGGTGCTGCTGATCCTGGAAAGAGGCGCAACATTTGCATATATGTGGAAGGAGAAAAAAAAAACCAACACTCTTCCACATTGGTCAACTCTGGGCTCATTACCTCCTGCTGAATTGGCAGAAATCTTGTATTTTTTAATCTGAAAACGCTTGACCGCTACCGGTTTTCCTTGATATTGTGCCCGATATATAATCGTTCCACTTCCTCCTTGGCCGAGGATACTGTTTTCATTTTCTACGTATTCCAGTTTGCTATTTTCCAAGAATAATCTGCCAAGCATACCGAATGAAGCAAAGAGAGAAATGGGATTATTAAGCAACTCCGGTAAATGGAAGCCAAGATTTAAGATCACCCGTTTCTCCTCTTCCTAATCTCCCAGAACAGACAGTGCCCACTTCCCTGGCCAAGATGAGTCTTCTTTTTTCTCTCCAGCCATCTGCTGGCTAGAAGATAACATATTTCGTAATTATCATCTTTGATAGACAGGCTGCTTTATTGGCAGCAGATAATGTATTGTTTTTTTTTTTAATGGATAGCGTCACTTCAAAGCAGAAGTAGGGGAGATCCCACCATTAGAAAACCAAGGAAACATTTTTTGGCATGCACAAGGTGATGATTTACGAGTGACAGCTTTTCCACCAGTTTTTCCTGGGACAGCATGTCTGTTTACATCAGAGATGCATAACTTTCTCCAGGTTGAGCTTCACACCTGGACTTGAGAAAGCTTTCAGAAGATGCTTTTCCCCCGCGCCGCAAATAGTGAGGGGGCTAGGATGAAAATAATATGAGATTTAATTTCATTTCTATTTAGATGTAATTAAAAACATGGCTCAATGTGTGGTTATTATTTTCATCTACTTTTTGGGCTGATGCCCAAAAAACTAAGCTGGGTTAGATGTGGCTAGGACTAGATTAGGACACCACTAGGAACTCCCAGGTTGTCAGATGGATTGTGAAATTAAAAAAAAAAATCCCAGAAAGAAATGAAAGTCAATTCTGAACTGCCGACAAAAAACCTGCTTGGTGTCACTGGTAGTCAAGCTTTTTGACATCTTCTATCACCCTAAAAGCTGCAATTTGATAACAATTTCAGGTGGTCATCTATCACTTGGACAGGTGGGATAGCTGTGGCCAAGCTACCCATTATTAAGTATAGCTAAATCAACTTGATACCACTTAATGTATTAACAGAATAACAGAGTTGGAAGGGACATTATCAAGGTGGTCTAGTTCCACTCAGCCTCTTCTTGAAAACCTCCAGTGATGGAGGATCCACAACTTCTGGTGGCAAACTGTTCCACTGATTAATTGTTCTAACTGTATTGAAAATGCAACTCCCCAAATTCTTCTTGTGGAAATTCTGGAAGTTGAATTTCTAACATATCTGAAGAACATCAGGCTGGAGCAGTCTGCTGGGGTAGACTAAAGTAGGCAGAAATATAAGCAATTTGCTGCTAACTTCACTCAAATTTGTATTCTTGTTCAAAGTAGGTGATTGAAAAAACAGGGTTGTATCTTTTCGTAGTCCAGGGAATGAAACTCCGAAATCTATAATTTTGGGAGAAAGAATGGGAGCTCCTTATTACCTGGCTGGAAAGTCCGTCATGAAAAGTTCAGGGACCAACTCCTGTAAAGGGACAGGTACAACTGGATGCAGGGCACAGGTGATGTGGTCCTGCTCAATGGCAGTGAGAAAACAGTCTTCCATATTGAAGTACTGTCCGTCTTCTTTGTTTGGGCTGTCTTCTCCATCCTGGGGCTTTGTGGTTGAACAGATGGGGCAAGGTACATATTGCTCCATGAGTAGAGTCCCATCACTTTCTGTGGCGGTGAGGGCTGGAAAAACATGATATATTTATTTATACATCAAACTTCTTAATAGCAATAGCATTTAGCACTTAGACAATAGCATTTAGCTCAAGGTTGACTCAGCCTTCCACCTTCCCAGGTCAGTAAAATGAGGACCCAGATTGCTGGGGGCAATGTGCTGACTCTGTAAACTGATTAGAGAGGGCTGAAAAGCACTGTGAAGCGGTATATAAGTCTAAGTGCTATATTGCTGTTGCTGATGTTTCCTTGCAACTGGCATCTGGAGCAAGACTGAGTCTTCAAAGCTAACAGTACAGATAATCCTCAGCATATTTTTCCTCTTTTTCAACAGGCTGTTGCCAGAATCACCTAATTCATGAAATCAATGATTTCACTCTTTGTTCTACATTTTTAGTACTTAGCTTCTTTGTCAGTTTAAACATCCCAAACATATTCTGATCAGAATTTGAATTTAGTTTTCCAAATGCCATTCCTTTCTTCTTTTTCATGCTTAACCAACGTTGAGAAATGATCAAAGCATTAACCTAATTAGTGGAGTAATAGGATGATTAGTTGATGAATCAATTTACTGAGGATGTTAAATGATCTGAATCTGCACTCAAAGAAAGACAACATTCTGAAATTAAAAACACAGTATTCTTTGATTTTCAATGATGCATGCATATTTCATAACTGACATTTCGGAAAAGGAGGAAATGCGTCTTCAAAATGCATTTTAGGATATTTTTTTTAGTTCTTTAGTTGTTTTTGAGTGCATGATCAGAGGCACGCAGGCACGCAGGCACGCACACACTTAGTATTGAATTTACCATCCTCAGGTTTATGAACTTTTTAAGTGAGCAATCATGTTAATATGACACAAGATGAAAACATTGATGCATTTTTCACAAACCATTCTGAAGTAGCCAATGCAATCTTTACAAATTTATAGTTGAAGTAAATCACCTGGTAGTGGGGTTGAATCGTGTTGAGTTATGGCTTTTTAAATAAATAATAATGGATTAGCTAGCTTCATACCAAAATGTAAACCACAAATTATGGCTTATATTCATAATATAGTATCCATAATGTCTGGCTCTTCTCATGGGTATTGAGCCAGAAAATTAAGGGAGATTATTTAAATAGTTTATGTGATTACTTTACCATAGGGATCATATCTCTGATATGATATATTTGCATTGTTTTGTTATATTTTATGTTTTTAGCTAATTATTAAGAGGGCAGATAGGCTAATGAATGATGGAATGAACGGATGGATGGATGGATGGATGGATGGATTCATTCAGTACAATAAGCCAAAACAGATCAAATCACATCATGGCTTCTTGTAATATGATCAGCCAGGGTGCTACATCCCTAAGGTTAACATGATATTTCAAGTTCCCAAAGATGATCTTTCAAAAGGCAACTGGTTTTTTTTTTTCCCCTGGAAGACGTTTTGCTTCTATCCAAGAAGCTTCTTCAGAAGTGACCAAACAAAGAAAGTCCAGCTACCTTTAAAAAAAAGCACCTTTGGGATAACCAGGACCTGGATGACTGAGAATCTCCATGGACATATTTCAAACCTGGGCCACTTCATCCCCATTTTAGCAGAAATGACCTGGAGATCATTCTTACCAGGAAACCATTGATCAATCAAAGAATTCACATGATCAGTGATGAAAGCCATGGCTGAAAAATCCCTCACATCTGACTGGCAGATGACTTTAATGCCACCACTTTTCTTCTTCTTCCAATTCACATCAGAGGACTCGACGCTGCCGGAATTAGAGCCAAGAGAAAGAAGGTTGAGAAGCTGATCCAACGGGAGGAGAATTGGGTATATTTGTATGTTTGCTTTTCCGGTGAGTCTCAGCAGCCAAGAAACCTCTGTTGTCTATTGTTATCTACTTGTTTTTTATTTACTTATTAGCTCTACCCCTTTCCTTCAAGTGCAAAAGGCCATGTTCCTAACGATGTGGCAGGTGACCCAGGTGTCTCATAGATTTGCTGTCTCCTACCCTTTTACTCCTTGCAACTCTCCTTGACTTACAGCAGTTCAAAGTTACAACAGCACTGAAAAAAAAAAAAGACTTGTGACCGTTTGTCACACGACCGTTGCAGCATCCCCATGGTCAGGTGATTAAGATTCGGACTCTTGGCAACTGACTCATATTTATGACGGTTGCAGTGATCCCCTTTTGGGACCTTCTGACAAGCAAAGTCAACAGGGGAAGCCGGATTCACTTAACAACCATGTTACTAACTTAACGACTGCAGTGATGTGCTTAAAAACTGTGGCAAGGAAGGTCGTAAAGGGGCGTAAAATTCACATAATAGCTGTCTCGCTTAACAACAGAAATTTTGGGTTCGGTTGTGGTCGTTAAGCCGAGGAGTACTTGTATTGCTAGGAACCGGACGCTCCACTTTAATTTCCCCTTATAATCAGAAAAGGGAAAAGGTTGGTAGCTGGAAATAAAACAGTGGGAGGTTATTTATACAGCCTTCTGTTGAACGCACAGCGTGAATCCTGAAATTGCTCTTCATTGTGTGAGGGTCAAAGAAATTTTAACATTTGCATTTGTGCCCTGAAAGGCGGTGCAGGAGAGCTTCTCAAACCCGCAGGACTTATTCTGCTTTCACTCGACCCCCGCAAATGTCTTCCAAACGGAAGAAGACTCAGAACAGTGCTTATGGGAACAATTCATATTGAGGATTAAAACATCTGGAGAAAACTCCTCAGTCTGGGACTGTGTTTCCAACCTCAGAATAGAGTTAGCTCAAAAAGCTGTTGATCTCAAAGAACAAAAAAACACAAAAGAAAACATTAGGGAGCCACTAGTTGCCGCAAGATGAAAGTTGTGTGAGCAGGAGAATACAAATATACAATAACTTTGGCCTCCAAACTTTCGGGCCTTAAAAAATGTGTAACCTTCATCAGTTGCAAATCTGAGGAAGGGTGGTTTTTTTGGGGGGGGTGGGGGGAAACTATAATTTTAGATTTTAGAATCACTAGTTTTAAAGTGGAAAGCTGGCCTTGAGAAAAATGGGAGGAGGAGGAGGAGGAGATTACCTATCATCATCCAAGGTATGTCTCCAGAGAAGACAGAGAACTGAAGTCAGAACTGAAGAAGCTTCCTGGATGAGGAGCAACACATTTTCAAGAAAAAACAAAGCACAGTTGCCTTTTGAAAAAACATCTTTGGGACATCTTCAGAGAAGATGCTAAGTTTCTTGCTGCTCCCAGGCAAAGCAGTGGCAATAGCTATAGGTAGCCCTTGCGATATAGCCACAACTGTGACAGGAATTTCTGTCGCTAAGCAATATGTTTTTTAAGTGAGTCATGCCCAATTTTATGACTTTTTTTGCTGTGTTCATTAACCAAATTACGGGCTCCTTAATCTGACTTCTCCCATGAGCTCTGCTTGTCAGAAGCCCTTGGGAAGATCACAGATGGTGATCACATGATTCAGGAACTTGTAAACTGTTGTAAATACCGTACATACGGGTTGTCAAGCACCCAAATTTTGATCCTGGGATCGCAGGGAGACTATAATGGTTGTATGTGCAAGAAACGACTGTAACTCACTTTTTCAGCACCGTTGTAACCTTGAATGGTTGTTAAAGGAATGATCATAAGTCAAAGACTACTGTAAAAAAAAGTTCGGTTCTAAGACTGAATGCATCAACATTTATTTTGGTCTTTTAGGCTGCAATTGTATTCACGGTTATTGGAGAGAAATCAATCAGAATAGAATAGAGCTGGAAGGGACCTTAGAGGTCTTCTAGTCCAGCCCTCTGTTCAAACAGGAGACCCTATATCATTTCAGACAAGTAGCTGTCCGATCTCTTCTTAAAAGCCTCAAGTGATGAAGCACCCACAACTTCTGAAGGCAAGCTCCACTAAACTTGGTAGAGTTAAAACCAACAGCACAGAATTGCTCATCAATTTAATTAAAACTAAGCAGCCAATGATACCATTTTATATGGTTCTGTACTGGCTCTAACCATGATTGTGAAAAATTAAGCTCATGTCTCTGCTTACCAAGAATTGTGAACGATAAGAGGTCATTTTAAAGTTCCATCTTACTTTGGGGTTTGGAAAGGAATGCCTTAAAACTGAATCCACCTTCTGTAATATTTACCTCAAATAGCCTCCATCAAAGGAGACAAACAGTCCTTCTTGCCAATAAATTGTGTGATTTCTTTTAACCCGGAATGTGCTACATCTGTTTCTCTGTATGCCTGTAAAGCTGTAGATTACAGAGCTTTTATTTCGGTTCTTGGTCACCCTCTTGTTTTCAAAGAACTAGAAAGAGGAAAAACAAATGGACATATTACAAAAAGAACTGTGCCAGATCAGTAATCAATAAAATAAAACCTTAGTAAGGCCACACCTGGAATAGTGCATTGAATTTTGGTTACATTACAAAAAATAGGTTGAGATTTTGAAAAAAGAAGAGCAACTAAGATGAGTCTGGAGGATAAAACATATGAGGAATGGTTGCTGGAATTGGATAAGTCTAGTGTAATGAAAAGAAGGACGAGGGATGACATGATAGCAGTGTTCCAGTATCTCAGGGGCTGTCCCAAAGAAGAGGGAGTCAAACTATTCTCCAAAGAACCTGAAGGCAGGACAAGAAGCAACGGATGGAAACTGATCAAGGAGAGAAGCAATCTAGAACTAACGAGAAACTTCCTGACAGTTAGAAAAATTAACCAGTGGAACAACCTGCCTCCAGAAGCGGTGAATGCTCCAACACTGGAAGTTTTTAAGAAGAGACTAGACAATCACTTGTCTGAAATGGTATAGGTTCTCCTGCTTGAGCAGGGGGTTGGACTAGAAGACCTCCAAGGTCCCTTCCAACTCTGTTATTCTATTCTATTCTATTCTATTCTATTCTATTCTATTCTATTCTATTCTATTCTACTCGACTCTACTCTACTCTACAATGAGAGGGTCAACTTATTTTCCAAAGTAACAGAAGGCAAGACGAGAAACAATGGATGGAAACTGATCAAGGAGAGAAGCAACCTGGAATTAAGGAGAAACTTCCTAACAGTGAGGACAATCCCTGAATCTCTTCCAACAATACAATGCTTCCTGCATTATCTCCTAATCATATGCAGATTTTTCTTTATACTTGTTTCAGTTTCTCCAAATCTTCTCCAGAACTGAATGCTATGCTCTAAGTAAAGTGTGCCTAGCTCAGAGGACAGTGAAACTATAGTAGTTTTATAATTTTGGGAAACTATATTGCTATTGGTGGCATGTTTTGCTTTTTTCCCCAGCAGTCATTCAGTCGCCTTGCGACTGAAGACCGCTGTTTTGCAAGCTTAGTTCTGGGGTGGTACCAAGAACACACCCTGCAGTGTTACCGGGAAATACTTCTTTCTTTTTTCCAAAATTTTATGTTTATAAGAGCCAACTATGGCCCTGAAATCTTGCAGAATTATTCCCAGTCCTGATACAAATCAACTGAACAGTCTGAAGTGATGACAAGATAATAACAAGATAACAAGATTGGGTGGCTAATTACACAGATTGCCCATGAAGTTAATGCCAATGTAATCAAGTGCTTAGAATTAACTAGTGCCAAATGTATTTCTATTATGTCTTCTGGAGAACACACACACACACACTGATTACAGGCATGCTTGAATCACTTTTGCTTTGTTCCATAATTGCGAAGGACGATTTTGGTGATTCTTGATGCCATCAAAATACCCTCCTTGGATTGGACCAAAATAATAATAAAAAGTGTGGTAGGGAACGATATATGCTGTAAGGGACTTAATTGAGTGGCATCTCCATTAGCAAACTCACATTTGGCTTCCTCTCCAACATTATTCCTGAAAACCCTGATTTCTGGCCTCTAGACCATAGACATTTGACCAATAATATTGTAAACTGCCCAGCTACCCTGCAGTAAGATGGAAGACCAATAAATTAGATAGGTAGGTAGGTAGGTAGGTAGGTAGGTAGATAGATAGATAGATAGATAGATAGATAGATAGATAGATAGATAGATAGATAGATAGAAAGATAGATAGGCAGACAGACGATATAGATAGATGATAGATAGAGATAAGATAGATAGATAGATAGATAGATAGATAGATAGATAGATAGATAGATAGATAGATAGATAGACAGACAGACAGACAGACAGACAGACAGACAGGAAAATACTGATGTAGACTGTTGAGATAAGATCCTACTCTAATTTCCCAGAGATTTTTTTTTCACAAATGTTACTGATTGCAGACAAGTTAACAGAGGCATTGAGAACTGAGCCTATAGCTAATTCTGATAGATTTGGTTCACGGACATGCTAGAAAATGACCACTATCTGGAAATTATCATGTTGTTGTTGTTATTATTATTAGACTCAGAGCTATCGCACATCAGAAGCAAAAACTTTTGTTGGCTCACAACAATCATAAGACATTCATAAGATCATTAACATAAGATCATAAGATATTCACAGCTGACGCTTTACATTCCATCCTAGACCGGAACGGATTATAGAAAAGAGAGCTGAGTTGCAATCACCAAGCTAAAGAGAAATGTATAATTCTATCTTTTATAATTGTACTTATCACTGCTGTAAAAAAGATTGGAAGCTACTTCTCTGTATCTTTTTTCTTTCTTTTCTATTTAGATTTTCTCTGTCTTTCATTTTAGCTCTGTCTTTGATTTCCTCTTTCTTCTTTTCTTTTTCTCACCTCATATTCGTTTCTGTCCCTTTTATCTTCTTAAACTGTTTAACCAAGTTAGATAAAACAATATATTCCATTGTGGATGGAGAAAATGCATTGCCAACACGTTTTTTGGTTCAACTTTTCATCACCCGCTGAAGTTCTTTCATCCACATACCTGAAGATCCATCTCTGCAAGACTGATCAGCATCCGGGCTATAAACCGTTGCCAAAACCCAACAGGGACAAAGCTCATCTTGAAAACTCTTTGGATGCTGTTTGTTGTCTGGTGGCGTAAGCCGTGAACATCAAAGGCTGGCTTGGCAGGAAGCAGGTGGGGCAGGAGATAACTGAAACCCAGTTAAAATTCAGATTATACAAGGTGCAGTTTTGGAAAGCAGAATTTCATTACCCTGGATGAAATATAAAGAACGATTGCTGGAATTGGGTATGTCTAGTTTAACGAAGAGAAGGACGAAGGGGGACATGATAGCAGTGTTCCAATATCTCAGGGGCTGCCACAAAGAAGAGGGAGTCAAGTTATTCTCCAAAGCGCCTGAAGGCAGGACAAAAAGCAACGGATGGAAACTAAGCAAGGAGAGAAGCAACCTAGAACTAAGGAGAAACTTCCTGACAGTTAGAACAATTAACCAGTGGAACTACCTGCTTCCAGGAGCTGTGAATGCTCCAGTACTGGAAGTTTTTAAGAAGAGATTAGACAACCATTTGTTTGAAATGGTATAGAGTTTCCTGCTTGAGCAGGCGTTGGACTAGAAAACCTCCAAGATTCCTTACAAGTCTGTTATTCTATTCTGTTCTGTTCTGTTCTGTTTGGTTCGGTTCAGTTCTACGTATACATCCCATTACTGTGTTGAATACTTCACTTTCAGATAGTTGTGTTCTAACGTCCTCTTTCTTACTTTCCCTCCCCAAAAAACTAGATTCTTCCCAAACTTTATAGTGTTTTATTAAGGCAATTGTGGGTTTTGTAGGTTGCGTTTTGAATTATGTGACTTTGCACAGTTCGATCCTGACAGGGCTCAAGGTTGACTCAGCCTTCTATCCTTCTGAGGTTGGTAAAATGAGGACCCAGATTGGTGGGGGCAAGAAGCTGACTCTGTAAACCACTTAGAGGGGGCTGTAAAGCACTGTGGAGCAGTATGTAAGTCTTAAGTGCTATTGCTATTGCTACAGTCTCGGAATACCCCTTAAACTAGAGATCTTTAGCACAGAATGCATTTATCTCTGTTAGAAGATTCCAAAATATGTTTCTTGGCTGATAAAACTGACAATTGTCTTTCTACAGGGTTGCAAACTGCTTATCCGACAATCCAGACACTAATCACCAATGATCCATCCTAAAGAGCTAATCATAGTAACAGTGTCAATAAAGAGCAGCATCATTTGAACCAAAAGGATCTGAAAAGGGTGGGGAAAGGAAGACGTGATGATCCTTGCTGTGATTTGTTTGGCAAGAAAAGAAGAGGAGGAGGAAGAAAGAACAAATGTGAAGAAAAAAAATGTGGTGTTTTTGTTTTTTTTTTAAGCCCCAAACTAAGCAGCTTCTGGTGTTTAGAGCAGCTTCTGACTCATAATTCAGAGAAGCTCATGAGGGCAGCACTGAAGAATCCCTTTCCTTAAGTCAAGTCCAACACAAATCTTTCTAAATTCTTTCTGGGGAATGCGAAAACTTGACACCCTATCTTCTTGGCAAAAAGACCTGCTAACGTGTCAACTTCATGTGCAGCGTTTATTTTGATTCTTTTAAGGCACTCCCTACAACCAGATGTCATAAACTGGGTTGAAGGGAAGGGAAATAGACCTTTGCAATAATGACTCATTCTATCACTAGTTCCAGAAAAGGTTGGACTGCAGTTCCTACCAACCAGCCAGTGGCAAGGGACTGTTGTATCTAGGTTCCCAATGCTTCCTGTATGTTTCTTTTAAGGTGGAATGCAAACATGTGCCATGAAGTATGGAGAAGTATTTAGAGTCAAATCCTGAGACCCATCACCATCATGAAGGTTTTCTCAATGCAAATAACAGCAAATGCGTAACTTCCCTGTTCTACTTCTGGAGAATTTTAATAGTTTGCACCATTTTGCCTCCTTCCTCCATCCCAATGGGAATTCAATGCTCAAAAAAATGAGGAATATCCCTTTGGTTTTTCCCACCGTTGGGAAAACTGTTCTGTAGACAACTGCTTGAAGAGATTCAGAGAAAAAACAGGAAGAAAGGGCTATCATTTCCCCCCAGCTGGCTACATAACCTCAGATATCATTGCTCCTTTTCCCTTATGCACAGTTACCTCTGTACATATTTTAGTTGTATATATTTTAGTTGTAACTTTGTCTATAAAATAAAGTGATCCTTCAGGGAGATAAATATGGGAAAATGTAAATGTGTATAAGAAAATAAAGGGCGAATGGCTTTGAAAAGTGCAAATATAACACAATAATGGTGCACAAGTTTAGGTCAGGGTTTTGAAAAACACATTCAATTGGATAAGCAATAGTGGTTTTGCTTACTCATAATAAATCGGTGAGAACATCATTCCTGCATGAAACCAAACCAATGCAATGTCCTAGCTGTAAGCACCTTGTCAAAAAGTGGGTTTTTTTTTTCCTGTGTGCCTAAGCTGGTTCCCTTACGATGAAATGGTTTCATGGTACCTTGTCTTTTTCAAAAATAACACTTTACTGTTAAAGTTGAGCGCAACTTCTGATGAGCATGTCCAGGTAGATTTCTTGGCAACAATAAGGAATCAGCTTTGCTGCTTACTTTTTTCCAAGAAGATTTTAAAAATTCTAGCTACGGCCCTATACAGTGGTATCTCAGCCCTAATCAGTAATTCATTCTTGAAGACTATAATTGACTTATACCGAGAAAACCACAACTTTTACTACGTGACCTGCCATTTTGGCTGGAAGAAATAACAAGTCACGAGGTAGCTGACATCAGCAAATTCTTCCTTGCATGTTGACTATTGGAAGAAAGACAAGTGCTGGATCAAGATTTCTGCTTCAAAACTCATTGAATACCAAATTTGACGAGTTTTGAAGCAGTTGACTGCTGAGATAGGACTGTAATATTCTGGAGGTCTCTCACCTAAGTACTGACCAAACCAGACCTGGCTTATCTTTTCAGCCCAAACAAGGTTAGCTAAGTGACAATCTTATTGTGACCTTTTCCCTCTTGTTTGCAAAAAGGGCTGGGAAACAGATGAACAGGAAGACTGACCCCCATCACAGCCAATAAACCACAAATATGAGTCTGGCTTTAACCACTGCTTGTTACGTTTGAGCTCAGAACACAGAGTTGGTTTTGTTTTTTTAGCCCCATATGGACATAAGAAGGTGAAATGGAAGGAAAATAACTCTAGAAATGGGCTGAATAAGCCACGAATACATGATTTATCAGACTGCGTATGGGATGGTTGACAAAGCATAGCCGAAACAAATTTCGGCTATGCAAAGGGCTTGAAGAAAAATTCCCTTGCATTTTTCTTTTAGTTTTCATTCCATTTGATGAAAGAGATCTTGCTTTAGACATTTTTCCAAAGGAGATTTTTTTGGGGGTGGTGGTGATGGTGGATTTTAATGGATGGAATTTGTGTGGAGATAAGATGGCCAAGGAGAATATGGGATGTTCTACGTTTCATACATGAACATCCCTGCAACTTCTCTGCCTTCCTATCATTCCATTAAATTCCAAAGGAAAAATAACTTTATTTTTTATTTCTCCCCCAGGGCTACTATCACCCCTAAGGCAGAACCCTTGTTTTGGGAAATCATTGTTGCATCTCTTCTTCTCTGGAACGAGTTTGGAAAAAGTTTCCATCTAAATTTGTCTCCACAAATATAGATAGTTCTCGACGTACAACTGTTCATTTAGTTGCAAAGTGACAAGTGGAAAAAGTGACTTAGGAGCATTTGTCCTCACTTACAACCACTCCACGGCTTCCCTGTGGTCATGTGATCCAAATTCAGACACTTGACAACTATTTATGAGGGCTGTAGTATCCTGGGGTCATGTGTGATCAATCTCCTTTTGTGACTTTCTGACAAGCAAAGTCAATGGGAAAAGCCAGACGCACTTGAGAACTGTGTGGCTAACTTAAGTGCAGTGATTCACTTTAAGCACTGTGGCAAGAGAGATCATAAAATGAGGCCAATTCACTTAGCAATTGTCTCCTTTAGCAGGAGAAATTTTGGGCTCAGTTGTGGCCGTAAGGTGAGGACTGCCTGTACACTGGGTCATTGGAAAAGGCCTTTTGTGCTTTCTGAGCCTGGTGTGTTTCAGCAAATCACCAAATCACAGGAGGAGGAGGAGAAGAAGGGAATCTGGAGTGACTTTTGGTTCTCTCAATCTCAGTCACTCCATTTGGACGACAATTACCAGTGTACCTGTTGTTAGCTATCGGCAACGCAATTTCAAACTTGGCCAGGAATTGGAAATACTGCTCTTCGGTTTCCTTGGTGAACCCCGTCCCGACCATCAACATCCGAAGGTCCTCAGCTTTGATCACGCCGTTCTTGGCAATTGACTTTGAGCTTTTGATGTTGAAGATTCTCTGCAGACATTCGGACAACCACACCGGGTCAAGGAAGAAGAGGTTCCTCAGCCCATGGCTTGTGTCTGGGAAATGCATCAGCGTCCCCGTTTCGATCAGGAAATTGATGGCTGTGGAGAAAGGAAGATATGACGAAGGGTGCCATTGCCTTTTGATTACCCCTGTCTCCTTATGACACAACAGGGAATGTACAACTATGATGCAATTGCAGCTCAGTCTTGCCACTACAAACTTGCCACTACAACTTTGCAAACACAGGCATAGTTTGTGAACAGAATCTCCTTGTACACTGTCAAGCACACTATACGCCTAGCCTCTGATAAGATTATTCCACGCATATATACCAGCCTGCATGTCTTCATAATCCTTGATGTCATTGGCTGGAGTTTTCTCAATGATTCCTTGTATTTCCTTGTCAGTGACGTATTGCACACTATCATTTTGGTTTCTCCTCTGTTGCTCTATTGTGATGGATACTTGAAGGCTCAAATAGCTCCTTGGGACCTGGTACATGAGAGTGCAAATCAATCAAAGCAATGTATCTACTCAGTTTTATATAGCACAGGTGGGATTCAGCCAGTTCTCACCATTTCGACAGAACCGGTAGCTATTTTTTTTTCTTGCCCAGGCCCAGAATGGACTTCCAGAAGCAGCATCCACACAGAGAACTGGTTGTTCACATATTTAAATCCCACCACTGGCACAGTCTGGTTGCTGAGACTAAGAAGGAGAAACCCCTAAACACCCCCCCCCAAAGTGACATAGCTGTCTCCTATAGAAATTACACACCAATCTCCCAACCAGCTTCTGTGAGCCGATGGAATTTCCAACATCCCTCATGTTTGTGCTGATATGGAAAATCAGTTGTCGCAACCCATCCAGGCCTTCCAGGGTTTTGCACGAGAGCTCACTGTGAAAAGAAATGGCAAGAGAAAAATCACATGTAACCTCTGTTGTTATCTGCGATAGTAATAGCAATAGCCCTTAGACTTATATACCGCTTCACAGTGCTTTACAGCCCACTCTAAGTGGTTTACAGAGTCAGCATTTTGCCCCCAACAATCTGGGTCCTCATTTTTACCGACCTTGGAAGGATGGAAGGCTGAGTCAACCTTGAACCAGTCAGGATCAAACTCCTGGCAACGTGAGCAGAGTTAGCCTGCCATACTGCATTCTAACCATTGCGCCATCACAACTCTTAGTGACACATCTGATTTCATAATCTAGCCCTAGATTCCCTGTTGGTATTACACCCATGGATGAATCAGGTCTGACCATGCTTAGGTTTTTGAGATAAGCCAAGATCAACTCAGCATTCCTTGTTACATGTGCTCCTTAACCAATGGCTGAAAATAGAAGAGAAAATATTTTGCAATATTTGTCCCTTATTATTAGCAAAATTGGTCTTCTACATTTAAAGTCCAGCCTTTTTTTAACAATGCTCCACTGTCTTGGGCTCATGGAAATGCAATTAATAAGCAGATCAGGAACTCAGAAGTCATGTGTCACAAAGAAGCCAAACAAGAAGCTATTGTTGACCTCTAATTCTTTCTCTATTGGAAAAAAAATAAAATCTCATTCAAACGTCATGCTAAGCTTGACTAACCAACCCATAAATGGCTCATTACCAACACATTTTTGTGGGCAGCAGCTGTGTCACCCTGGAAGCTTAAACATGAGGTGGTAATGCTATCTTGTGCTCTGTTTGTGGCGCATGTTGAATTGAGCTGTGAAATTAAAATGTTAGGGCTAGGCTTTGCTTTGTGGAAAAGAATGTGACCAGCTCTCTGGAGTACAATTTTGTGAGGCAACCACAGGGCTTAAGACCTAATCTCAGACATTTAAAGACATATCTTACTGTTTGAGAACTGCTTTGATTGTATCACCCTCCCCTTGGTCTTCCCTTAAAAAAAAACAGTGGTCACTTCCTCGGTACTTCTGGACACTATAATCTACCATCTTTCAGGAAAGATGTTTCATAACAGTACAGGTGGTCCTCAACTTATAACAGTTCATTTAGTGACCATTCAAAGTTACAAGGGCATTCAAAAAGTGACTTATGACCATTTTCCATGCTTACGACTATTGCATGATCAAAATTCAGACAATTCAGACACTTGGCAACTGGCTCGTATTTACGACGGGTGCAGTGTCCCGTGGTCATGTGATCTCCCTTTGTGACCTTCTGACAAGCAAAGTCAATGGAGAAGCCAGATTCACTTAACCGTGTTACTAACTTAAGAACTGCAGCAATTCGCTTCACCGTGGTAGGAAAAATTGTAAAATGAGGTAAAATTCACTTAGCAACAGAAATTTGGGGAGGCTTAGTTGTAATCTTAAGTGAAGGACTACCTGCACATGTCCTGCAGCAAAACCCCTCAATTTGCTCAGAGTTAGACCCATGACACCACTCTTCCTTAGTCGTACTTGAGTAGTTGAAAAGCAAGCAGCTGGAAGTAAGGCCTTGCTAGTGTGAGTTGCTGTTGCACCCGCATCCAACTTACTGCAAATGCTTCATTGTGATGTCTGGAAAACCAGTGGCTCTTGAACCTGAGGGAGATCGACAGAGAGCCAGGACATAGGCTCTTAAGGTGGCAATCCTTTCGACACGGAATTTTGTTTCAATGAGGTCCAGATGTGTCCCTACCACCAGCACAACTGAATTTGGAGCCTTGGCCTGGAAAGAGAGAGTGGCATTAAGCTATGGATCATTTAAGCCACAGTTGGTTGGAAGAGTCAGAACAAAGCAGATTTGTTCTTGCAGGTAAATGAAGTGATTGTTTTCCACTTGACCAATGACTGCTTCATACGAAGAACAGTTGCAGGAATTGGGTATATCTAGTCTAACGAAAAGAAGGACTAGGGGTGACATGATAGCAGTCTTCCAGTATTTGAGGGGCTGCCACAAAGAAGAAGGGGTCAACCTATTGTCCAAAGCGCCTGAAGGTAGGACAAGAAGCAATGAATGGAAACTAACCAAGGAGAGAAGCAACCCAGAACTAAGGAGAAATTTCCGGACAGGGAGAGCAATGAACCAGTGGAACAGCTTGCCTCCAGAAGTCGTGGGTGATCCATCATTGGAGGCTTTTAAGAAGAGACTGGACAGCTATTTGTCTGAAATGTTATAGGGTTTCCTGCTTAAGCAGGGGGTTGGACTAGAAGACCTCCAAAATCCCTTCCAACTGTGATGATGTTCTGTGTTCTATGCTGGCATCACTCTGGAAGTCTTAGGTAAGGCAGACAAACAAACCAAAGGTAAACTAGGAAATACACATGTCTATAACTGCCATCATTTGCTTATCACCCAATGGCATAGCAATTCCAGTTTTATCATGTATAGGACAGGACATTGTGCTTTATGGTGAGGCAGATACTCGTATCCCATTAAAAGGATTTTTTTTTAAAAAAAGATTCTACTGCATATCCTATTAGTTTTTCTGCCTGTATCATGACAGAAAATGATTTTATTCCTTAACAACAAAACATATTGGACCTTTACCCTGAGGAATTATGGGAACTGAAATTTAACATATCTGGAGGATAATAGAGAGGGAAGCTTAAACTAAATGTTCATAAATGTCTTTTTGGAGTAAACATTAGGAACTGACAAAATACATAGAGATGAAGGATGACAGTTGGGTGATAGTTGAGGTAAAGATGTCAACCCTGAAGAATTTTAACGTGAAACGAAAAATAGCTTTTTGCCAAACTTGTACTTCCACAGGGACTTAAACCTTTTGCAAGCCAGCCTACGGCTTTGCTCCTACCTCAATACTGAGTAGCCAGAACTGAAGATTCGCCACAGCTTCTTCTCCCAGTGCCAAGTTCCAGATGACAATGTACAATGCCTTATCTGTGAAGAAGCATTGGTTGACTGTTGACATGCTGGCGGGGCCTCCAATATCCCAGACGTTAAACTCAACAGCGTCAACCTAATTGGACAAAGAGCTACATTGAAGGGAACGAATACCCCTTGATAGCAGTTAAACTAAATGAGAGAGAGAGAGAGAGAGAATGGTGAATGCATAATGAGTTTGCACCCTCCAATATCCTCATAGCGTACGGCACCTAGGCGTCAATGGGCGTCAATGTTCACTCTGAAGAAAGAGGGCTTGTCAAGGGGGAATGACCCCTTCCACACAGGAAATGTAACTTAATTGCTTGCTTTTAAGGCAGCCACACATTCCCAGAGTTATAATTTGGAGTGGAAGCCAACTCTGACAGAGAAGAGCCACCACAGTTTTATTCTATATGAATCCAACCAGTTAATCTGCTGCTAAATTTTGCAAAACAGTCAACGAAACAGAATAAAGGCTTCTAATTATGAGATCTAATTATTGAAACGTATAAGGTCTAGGTGTGAAGGGTGCCATACGGAAAGCAAAGGGCGGAGGCGAAGAGTACTATTTTGAAATACACCGGGATTGTTTCTGTAGTCACTAACCTCCAAAGTCTTCTACATCTTTGACCATTTTATTCAGATTCTGAATAAATATAATTATTTAGATCATTAATTCTGGAATTCTATGACATGTTCACTTTTTAGTGAAGACATTGCATCTAAAGGCCCAATTTGGAAGCATTTCCAGATGGATTCAAATAATGGGGTGGAGGTTGTTGTTCTTTTTTTGAGGTGCTATTTGAAATTTCTGAAGGTGACTTTCAGAAAAATGTCCATTTTTCTTATCTTCCATGTTCGTTATACTTTTGTTATGGAAAGTGAATTGAATTCCAGCTGGAATCTTTGTAGAGGTATCAAATTTGGCATGCCCTGCCCTTCAAAGCTTCTTATGGAAAGTTGAAAGTTTCTCTTTTTCTATTTACCTTGGATTTGAATCCAGCAGGTCTCTGGAGTTCCCATCTTGTGGTCCAGATGGTGGCATTGTCAGGCATTGAAAGAGAAGGTTTCCCCGTCTGCAGGATCTCAACCAAGGTGGATTTTCCCTGTCGTGGAGGACCTACCACCACCATTTTCATCACATTACTTTTTTCTGCTTTGCGTAGCTGGGCACGTAAATAGGCTAAAATGGTCTTGGGTCCTGCAGGTAGAAGGTATAGAGAAATCATTGGTAGATGATACAGGTAAAGGCTCATCTCCGTTTCTTAGCCAATTATTGGAAGACACTTCTGTGGACATGTGGCCAGCATGACTATACGCTGAGGCATATGGAACGCTGTTACCTTCCCACTGAAGTGGTACCTATTTATCTACTCACATTTGCATGCTTTCAAACTGCTAAGCAGGAATGGTAGATGATAGCTAGTCAAAAAAAATAGACAAAACCTATTTTGTGTAGGGTGAGCAACCTCCAGTCATCTTGGTGGTGCTTGAAGTAAGTTTTAAAGCTCTTTAGAAGCAACCTGGGCCCTGAACGAGAGAGGTCTGGGTCTGGGTGTCATTCTCTCTCATCTGCTCCTTGGAAATGTGGGAATATAGGATGACTAAAGAAAAAAAATTCAAAACGAATCGATACTTTAAAAAAAAAATCTTGGATTCCCCAGATTTAAGGGCTGAATACAGAAGTTATATATTGCAAAAATAAACCAATCATTGGACATCACCAATTTTTCAAGGTAGCAATAATAGGCCTATTCACAAGGAGTAAACACCAGAAGCCTGATTTTATGTAAGCCAAGGATCCTTAATTTCCAGTTATGGTTTGTTGTCTTGAATGCTGCAGAACTGCCAGTAAATTAAGTTGCAACAGAAATAACCATTCTGAAAAATATAACCTTGGGCCAGGAAGTGTCAACACTGACATCTCTCGGTTGCGGGTGTCACAAACGATGACTTTCTGCAAAATAATAAATGTTGCCTGTCATTTCTACAGCCCTTACTCAGAAACGGACGGGGGGGGGGGAAATGAAATCCATTCAATGGCTGTACTGTGAGTTGCTGTTTGAGGGAGAAGGTGGCTTGCAAAGGAACTGATCAAACCGAATTTGAATCGTATGGAAAATATGAGGTCTGCAATTCTGTTTCATAACAACAACGGCCTGGACAGAGGCCACTCCATGTTGCCCACCATTCAATAATAAATAAAATTAGGCATGGTTTGGATTCTCTCCCCGTTCGAGCAGCTGAGATTAATCAGTTACAGAAAGGAAAGAACCTCACCCTCTTTTCTGATCTCCGTTGGAATATTGCCAATGTTTAGATCCTCAATATCCAGCTGCCAAAGATTAACCAGTTGTCCAAGTTCAGTAGGAAGCTCTTGAATGCCTGGGTTACTATGTAGAAAAAGACACACACTCATCAACCAATCCACAGCCTTGCCAGTGCCGACACTGAAGTGCAAGTTGGCATCAAGTCTAGCCTTCAAATGAATATTTGGAAGTATAACAGGAAACTGTTAGCTTAGACAAAAGCATCGTGGAATTTCAATGGAAATTTCAAGATCAAGAGCACTCAATCAAGGGCACTGAAAGTGCCAAGTTCATCAAAGGAAACCTCCAGAGTTTCAGCAGCTAATGAATTAATTATTCTCTTGAATTAATAAATTAAATATTCTCCACAACTGGAAGAACTCAACTCACTTTCCTAAGTAGAGTTCTGACAGTCCTTTCAGGAGACAGACAGACTGAGGGACGGAATCTAGTTGGTTGTCATTCAGATAGAGGACCTCCAGCACATCCGCCAGGAATTCAGGGAACTGTAGGGTATATTCTGGAGAAAGAAAAAAGTAAGACAAATATAAGTTAGACAAGAGAAGATACAGAACATGCACAGACTGCAAGCTGGCAATCAGCTTTGATTGGATAAAAACCCCAGCTCCAGATCCTGTTTGCCTGCTGTCAATCACCGGTCACAAGAAAGGAACAGGAGAACAATCTGTTATTTATTAATATTTAAATATTCATTTGGCCCTTTTTTCCTACAGCAGAGTTGCTCTTGACCACAAGGTGACAGAGGACCAACTCATGATGAAAAAGGGATGGAGATCAAAAAGGGATTTTAATACATACTGTAAACACAAGAAAATCCTTTCCAACGCTCCAACCTTATGGAGGAAAATAGCATTTTAAGAGAATAAACTAGAAGAAAGCCAAAGAAAAATACCTTGAAAATTGTCAGGTGCTACCAATTTGGGTACCAAATGGATAAATGGGCTCAGAAGAGTGCAAATTAATAAAAGGAGTCCAAGTGGATGTCTACCCCTACAAAGAATATAGGTTTTAAAAAAAAAAGATTGACATAAGAGCAGTGGTGGCACAGTGGTTAGAATGCAGTATTGCAGGCTTATTCTGCCCAGTGCCAGGAGTTCGATCCTGACCAGCTTAAGGTTGACTCAGCCTTCCATCCTTCTGAGGTTGGTAAAATGAGGTTACAGATTGTTGGGGGCAATATATGCTGTAAACCTCTTAAAGAGGGCTGTTAAGCACTATGAAGCAGTAAATAACTCTAAGTGCTATTGCTATCATCAGAAAGTCTTGTTCACATACAGTATCAACTGGTTTTACAGGTCATTTTATATACCATTTACATATCATTGAAAAGAGACGAAAAGCAAAAAAGGAAACAAGAAAGACCAAAACACCTCCAAAAAATCTCCTCACCAGCAATTAAGGCTCATGTAAACAGAGATTAACACTAACAGTAAACAATAACACAGCAGTAAAAATACCCCAATCAAGGAACTGCCAGCTCAGACAAACAAATAGTAAACAGCAGCCTATTGAAGAACATTCCCACCAAAACTGACAGGGCAAGCATAAACAGAGACCAAGCCCCACTCCCTTCTAGCACTGATGATATTATCTAGTTGGGTAATGAAACATCTGCAAGAAAACAGCCAAGTTCAGAGAGCACCAAGGACCCATAGCTCTCCTCCTTCTCCTCCTCCTCCTCCTCCTCCTCCTCTTCCTCCTCCTCCTCTCCCTTCATTCTGCAAACCTCATTCCTTTCTAGTACTGATGTTATTACCTAGTTGGGTAATGAAATGTCTGCAAGAAAACAGCCAAGCTCAGAGAGTACCAAGGATTCCACAGTCTTCCTCCTCCTCCTCCTCCCATCTTCCACCTCCTCCTCCTCCTCCCTTCCAGCACTGATGACGTTCCCTAGTTGGGTCATGAGACGTCTGCAAGGAAACCACCCAGTTCAGAGAGTACCAGGGACCCCACAGTCCTTCCTCCTCCTCCTCCTCCTCCTCCTCCTCCTCCTCCTCCTCCTCCTCCTCCTCCTCCTCCTGTCCCTTCTAGCACTGATAATGTTCCCTAGTTGGGTCATGAGACGTCTGCAAGGAAACCACCCAGTTCAGAGAGTACCAGGGACCCCACAGTCCTTCCTCCTCCTCCTCCTCCTCCTCCTCTCCCTTCTAGCACTGATAATGTTCCCTAGTTGGGTCATGAGATGTCTGCAAGGAAACCACCCAGTTCAGAGAGCACCAGGGACCCTCACAGTCCTTCCTTCTCCTCCTCCTCCTCCTCCTCCTCCTCCTCTCCCTTCGTTCTGCAAACCTCATTCCTTTCTAGTACTGATGTTATTACCTAGTTGGGTAACGAAATATCTGCAAGGAAACAACCAAGCTCAGAGAGCACCAAGGATTCCACAGGCCTCTTTAAAAACAAGTACTTGATGTCAGCTAGAAAGCACAATCAAAGAAGCAGCCATCAAGGGTCTTGAAGACTACTTGAGTGTCCTACCACTCAGTTCTTCAACCTGCGCATCTGTCCGTCTGTCTCTCTAAGACACCCATACACTTACCTATCTCGCTGCCGATGCAAGTTCTGTTCCTTGTAGTGAATAATGGCATCCATTTCGTTTTGGCCCCTTCCTCAGTTCTGCAGGCAAATGTAAACAAAGACCAATGAAACAGGAAGGTTTCTTCTGTGGCGTAGCGTAAAAGAAACTCCCTAAAACTCACTTTCCAAGCTGATTCTTGGACAGATCCAAAGATTTCAACAATCTGCAAGACCATTTCTCTGGAGAAGGCAGCATGACGATCTGGTTTCCAGACAGTTTCAGGGAGACTACAGCCTGAAAGGGAAAATGGATAATGATGGGTTTTGCAAAGACCTCCCAAGAAAGGGGACTGTTCAAAATCTGCAAGATGGTGGGGGGGGGGGAACGGCATTACAATTTTGCAGAATTTGATATACATAGATAGTCCTAAACTTATGACTACAATTGAGGCGCTGCCATAAAGAAGAGGGGGTCATGTTATTCACCAGAGCACCAGAGGGCAGGACAACAAACAATGGTTGGAAACTGACCAAAGAAAAGCAACCTGGAATTAAGGAGAAATTTCCTAACAGTGAGGACAATTAACCAGTGGAACAGCTCGCCTCCAGAAATCATGGGCGCTCCATCACTGGAGATTTTTAAGAAGAGACTGGACAGTCACTTGTCTGAAGTGGTATAGGTTCTCCTGCTTGAGTAGGGGGCTGGACTATAAGACCTCCAAGGTCCCTTCCAGCTCTATTCTATTCTAAATTAAGCAATGCTACAAATGTATTTTTTTTAAATACAGATGTCTTTATACTGCACTAATACAGCCATAGTGTGAAATGGCCCAGAGAACGGAAAAAGTAACAGAGGAGCACCGCCTAGTGTTCAAATGATTCAGATTACAAATATTTCACTTTCCAGGAAGGAAAGGCAATTTTCATAAGCTGAAGTCACACCTACAGTATGTATGATAGGAAATATACAGTATGTACTTTTGAAATCCATGTGAAGACTCAGGGGTCTAAGGCCAGTTTATCCAGGCAATAAATGTCAGTCTCTTTAAATTTGTTTATGTATTCTAAATAAAGTATGAGTACATGTTTGTAAGGAGTGTGAAATGGTGTATGTGTCAATTAGGATGTATTTATAAAAAATTGCTTTTAAAATGTATTTGCTGACCATCTCGTAGCTGACAACTCTGGGCAGACTGAGGATGTATCTTCTCAGTCATGAAATTAAATTAAATTAAATGGACCTCAAAATTCAAGAAGCAGCATGATTAGCAGAATAACAAAGCTGGAAGGGACCTTAGAGGTCTTCAAGTCCAACCCCCTGCTCAAGCAGGAGACCCTATACCATTCCACACAGTCTCTTCTTAAAATCCTCCAGTGATGGAGCACCCACAACTTCTGAAGGCAAGCCATTCCACTGGTTAACTGTCCTCACTGTTAGGAAGTTTCTCCTTAATTCCAGGTTGCTTCTCTCCTTAACTAGTCAACTTTGATTAGGGTTGACTTTGCCTCTTCCTTTTCCAGATAAGATTATTTTTTTTACAAGTTAATTGTTAATTCCACATTTAATTAATGGCAGAGCAGCTCATGAAGTTACTTTGTCTGAAGAAGTGCTAGTATACCAAGAAGCTGCCAGCTATATTCAAAGTCCATCCTCCCTTCCATGTGGATCTTGTTTCCCCATTTTTTCTCACAATGATCTTGTTAGGAAAGCCAAGCCATGAAAAGCCACGAAAATAAGGAAAGATTTGCTTCTCGGCATTTCCAGCATTTCTCCTACCTTATGGTGCCTTTCGCCAGTACGCTGAGCTTCGAGCAAACTCGATTTTGAGTGTCCCAAAATTGCTTTTTCGAAAGGCAACTGGTCTTTGTTTTTCCTTGAAGACGTTTGGCTTCACATCCAAGAAGCTGCTTCAGTTCTGCCAGAACAGAAGAAGCTTCTTGGATGAGGAGCAAAATGTCTTCAAGGAAAAACAAAGCCCAGTTGCCTTTTGAAAAAGCACTTTTGGGACAACAGTGAATCTCCATAGAATCTCCATAGACATTTAGATTTTGAGTGTCTAATATAGCTAATCCAGGGTTCTCAAGTTGCAAATGACCACAATTAATTTGTATTTTGGAAACATTGGGTGAAGACCCATCTCCCTTGAGAAGTCTGTAATGCTGGGAAATGCAGAAGGAAACAAAAGGAGAGGATGATCAGCAGAAAGGCAGAAAAACTTGATGGTACACGGAAGATCTGAAGGGCCAGGCTGGGGGCTGGAGAACTATGCTGGGATCTATAGGGTTGCTAAGAATTGACTTGATGGTAGATAAATCAATCAAGCAGTTGGCTGCAATATCCCTTCAAGGCACTGTAGTCCCTTCAGATGTTCATCAGATACCCTTGCAGTCCTGAGATTGCAAATAATCCCAATTTATTTTACAGAGTAAAGGAAGTTGTGCCCCAAATGGTAAGAACAATCTTTTCTACTTACTTCAAGCTGGAAGAGACTCTGGGGAAGATCTTTCAGTGAATTGTCGGAAAAATCTACTTCCTTGAGATGGTTTTTCCAAAACACTGCCAAAGTATCAGGTAGGGAGTCCAACATATTTCTAGCTACTTTGCAAGATTTCTGGAAAAAACACAAGGAAAAGTTCATACTTGTCCATCCTCAAAATCTCAGCTTTTTATACAGGTATGGCTCTTAATACATTTGTAAAAATATACCGATATATGAGTTCAAGGGATGGAGATATTTCAGTTCTATCAAAGAATGCCAAGTTTCTCCATTGTACACACACACACACACACACACACACACACACACACACACACACAAACAAACAAACACAAACACACATAAACACACATGTAAACACAAATACAACATTTCTAGTTGTTAGGAAAGGGAACAACAGGTTTGAAAGCATGTACCATTTCTGATGTAACTCTCATTTACACTCACTCATTCAATTAAAGATGTCTCCAACGTGATTCTCAGACATTCTAAAAATGACACATTATAAAATACACTGAGATCGCGTGACTACCATGATAATAATAATAATAAAGTTGGAAGATATCTTAGAGGTCATGTAGTCCAACCCCCTGCTCAGGCAGGAAACCCTATACCATTTCAGACAAACGGCTGTCCAGTCTCTTCTTAAAAACTTCCAGTGTTGGAGCATTCACCGCTTCTGGAGGCAGGTTGTTCCACTGGTTAATTGTTCTACTGTCAGGAAGTTTCTCCTTAGTTCTAGGTTGCTTCTCTCCTTGATCAGTTTCCATCCGTTGCTTCTCGTCCTGCCTTCAGGCACTTTGGAGAATAGCTTGACTCCCTCTTCTTTGTGGCAGCCCCTGAGATACTGGAATGCTGCTATCATGTCCCCCCTCGTCCTTCTCTTTGTTAAACTAGACATACCCAATTCCAGCAACTGTTCCTTAATGTTTTAGCCTCCAGTCCCCTAATCATTTTTATTGCTCTTCTCTGCACTCTTTCTAGACATCTTTTTTACATTGTGGTGACCATGATGATTACCCAGACTCACCAAAGGACAGGCCCATGGTTGAGGAAACACTTTTAAGTTATTGCTAGATCCATTGAGGCTATGCAATGATTTCAAGCAATGCAGAAAGGAAGCAGGCAGCTCCGATAATCTGTTGTCTGAGACATCTAATTCCCGCAATTTTCTTAATCCAATCCAGTTGGTTGCTGGGGGAAAAAAAAAAATCCAAAAAAAAAAAAAAATAGCTCATCAAGAAATATGAGAATCTGTGCTAGTTAGATTTACTCTTGAACCTTTTCTCTTGGGCAATTTAATTTTCACAAAATGACAGTGGCCAAATTCATACACTATGCTAAGCCATTGTGCCTTCTACTTGGATTTTGCACATCAGATATATCCAATCATTGTGATATGTAAAGATGATTTGTAACTTAAGAATATTATATATTTCTGGCTTAGGGCTTTACCAAAGAAATGAAGAAAGGTTGTGTGTGTTGAAGGATGACCGGACAGACACACTGAACTTGTTTCGGGATATGAAAAGAAGGAATATTTAATAACTTCCAGTGATTTCAGAAGATCTAGATTCTGAACACAAAAAAGGCCACCATCAGTTAAAGGCTAGGGAGGTCCAGAAGCAAAAAAAGATGTGTTTCCTTTCCAATCCAAAACAAACTGTTGAATTTTGACGATAACACTCACCATTCTCCTCATCAAATAGTTTTTCCAAATAATTTTTGGCAGCAACAAGTCTTTGGAGTCTAGAAAGGTGCAATAAACCAGAAGGCAGGGTGAGGAATCTGTTGTTAGATATGTCAATCTCGAGTAACCTATTTAAAAGAGAGAGAGAGAGAGAGAGAGAGAGAGAGGGAGGATTTAACGCAAGGAAAGAAAAACTCTTTTTCTACGTTCTTTCATTTATTTATTAATTGGTAGATGGAACTGAGCTCTTGCCAATGTGGTCTTCTCACAATTACTCCCAGGTGCATTTCTGTAAGAATGAGATCCACGTACTTCGTGCAGATGATTCCCTCCGAGGACTTCACATCAAGCAATTGTTTTAATCGGTTGTCAGACAGGTTCAGTTTCTGAAGGTTCATCAGACCCCAAGGGATGATGGATGGAAGAGAGGTCAGGTGATTAGCGGACAGGTCCAGCTCCGTTATTTGGTGGGAAAGGTCGATCAGCCAGTCAAAATCCACCCAAGGCAATCTGAGCCTTGACCAGTTCACAGAAAGACCCTGAAGATAAAGAGATAAGGAGCAGTTAATGTGGATCCTCAACAGCAGGGGGCTGGACTAGAAGACCTCCAAAGTCCCTTCCAGTTCTATTCTATTCTATTCTATTCTATTCTATTCTATTCTATTCTATTCTATTCTATTCTATTCTATTCCATTCCAATTCTAATTCTATTCCATATTTTCTATTCTATACTATTCCATATTTTCAATTCAATTTTATTCTACTCTACTCTACTCTACTCTACTCTACTCTACTCTACTCTACTCTACTCTATTCTATTCTATTCGAATTCTTTTTAACCTCACCCAGTGTGCTGTGATTTCTGCTTCTAATCAGAGGTTGATGCTTAAAGATATATCTCAGAAATGAAATAAAAATGTCAGATAGCTGTCTTTTCTCCCCACCACCACCACCACTAAATTACAATACATAGCTTTTTTAAAAAAAAATTGCTTTGGGTTTGCAAATATTAACCCAGTAACACACAGCTTATTCTCCATCTCTCTCTGTTCACAATACTGGACCATAATGTAATTTTTAAAAATTCAGCTTAGTGTGTTAGATGAAATCAGGTATTACAGTTTCCAAGCTGCAGTGTAACTCCTGCCAAAGTATGAATGTGTGTATTGATTTGATGTGATTTGATTTGATTTTACCTTGCCATCATCAATAGATTCCTGAAGAGTAATAATCAGGAATTAATGATCCACACTGCAGCAAGCACAAATAAATGACTATATAAAAATAACCTCATAGTAAATAAAATATTATGTCATTATAAATATATGTCGTATACCTACTTATGTCAATAATTATAAAGTAGAAAGACAGTAAAGACCAGGAGAAAATAACAAAAAGAAAAAGGAATAAAGTGCAGTCAAGATTCAACGATTCATTTTTATCTGTGTATTTGCGTTTCTGAATTTTACAAACTATTCATTTTTTAAATTAGTTTATAATAGAAAAAAGAAAAGAAAATAATAGGAAAATAAGGGAAGGAGAAGGCAAGGGAAAAGGGGAAAATGACAGAAAAAGCACTGACATCTGACTCCCTTTGATGCAATAGAATAATAACATTAAATTTCAATTTTTTACTTTTACATAATAGTATAACTTATCTAATCAGCAGAATCCAAAGTCAAAGTTTCATTTTTTTCCCACCTCAAGCACAAAGTCCAGAAGTGGTTTCCAAGTAGAAACAAAAGTTATTGTCTTGTTTTCTTTAACCAAAGCAGTCAATTTAGCTATCTTTACTAACGCTATCAGCTTTTGCAGCCGTTCACCCAGTGTGGGAATTCAAGCGTCCTTCCATAACTTTACAAACTATCCATATGTATTAAATGCAATTTTAATAAATAACAATCACAATAGTTAAACTATTTCTCTCTCCCCCCCCCAGCATAACTCACTGGTTTTGCTTGGACATTCCTGGATGAAGGAACTGGTTCAATGAAATATTTGCAAAGAAGGCGTTTGCTCGCCTTGGGACAATCCATTAGGGTGTAGGAACAAAAGAATGAACCATTCTCCAGCAAAAAGGCAGCGACATCATCATGGCCTAGCAAATAAAGATAAGTGCAGACGCTATGTTAAACAATTAAAATTGAGTTTCAACTTCAGGATCTGGACTTCTAAAGAGCAGTCAGGGTTGATCTCGTCTAGGACTGACCGGTTTGATCGCCTTGCAGTCCAGGGGACTCACAGGAGTCTTCTCTAGCACCATTGTTCAAAGGCTTCAATTCTTTGGCGCTCAGCCTTTCTTATGGTCCAACTTTCACAGCCATACATTGTAACTGGGAAAACCATGGCCGTGATTATATATATTTTTGTTGGCAGGGTGATGTCTCTGCTTTTTAATATGCTGTCTAGGTTTGCCATAGCTCTCCTCCCCAGGAGCAAGCGTCTTCTAATCACATCCTATCATTTGTTTTAACAGAAGTGCAATTGATTCATATTTCAGTGCAAAAACTCTGCCTTTCCAGTGAGTCACAGGCCCATAAAGCAGGCTGAGGGGGAGGGAGTCAGGATTTGGGGGGAGTTTTCTCTGGCCTTAATCCTATACCTGAAATGCTAACCCCATGCAAACTCTCATGACCCAATTCCTCTTTTCTCGTGGCCATCTTCCCTGTTGGTAAAAGGGCCCCCGACAGGAAAAATTGTCGCAGAAAGAACAAACAATTGATTGAATTGTATATATTTATTTTCTTCCATTCATTGCTAAAAGGACAACTGTCATACAGGAATACGTCAAGGAGGCAAAGTAAAGTAAAGCAGAGTTTAGGGTTATCTAGAGAAAGTCAGCAAATACCCTTGAAATCGGGCAGGTTGACTCAGCCTTCCCTCCTTCCGGGGTAGGTAAAATGAGGACCCAGATTGTTGGGGGCAATGTAAATATATATATATACATTGCTTACTAGTGTACACCGCTTAGAGAGTGCTTGCACTTAAAGCGGTATAGAAGTCTCATAAATAAATAAACAACCCACACACCTGCCTGCATTGCAGCATAAAGTGGCAACCGAAGGAGGACTGGAAATTCATTCTTTCTCATGGCATAGCTGTCAGGATCGGCTCTGTAGGCCAGCACTAAGAGCTTAACCACCTCTAGATGTCCTTGCTGGCAAGCCACTACCAGCATCCAATTCAGCAGTTGTGAGATGTTTGTGGCACCTTTTGAAACAAACATTCATGGACCCATATTATAACCATCCTTGGCAAAGGCAACGCATGAAGGCTTGCAAGAAAATTAAGCCGAGGGCTACCTGTATGGTAAGACCATGTACAGAAAGTCCTCGACTTACAATGGCAATTGAGCCCAAACTTTCTGTGGCTAAGTGAGACATGTCTTAAGGGAGTTTTTGCCCCGTTTTACAACCTCTCTTGCCACAGTTATTAAGGGAATCACTGCGGTTGCTAATTTAGTCAAACCATTGTGAAGTGAATCTGGCTTCCCCTGCCAAAGGGGATCACGTGACCACCACCACCCCACTGGGACACTGTGACCATCATAAACGTGAGCCGGTTGCCAAGAGTCTGAATTTTGATGCTGTGAACATGGGGAATGCTGCAACGGTCATAACTGTGAAAACTGGTCGTAAGCAGTGGTGGGATTCAGCCGGTTCTCACCACTTCGGCAGAACCGGCAGCTAATTTTTTGTTGACCAGGCCCAGAACGGACTTCTAGAAGTGGCATCCACACACAGAGAACCGGTTGTTCACCTATTTGAATCCCACCACTGGTCGTAAGTCACGTTGTTCAGTGCCGTTGTAACTTTGTTTTCTGTAACGGTCACGAAATGAACGGTTGTTAAATCAAGGACGACCTGACATAAGTAAAAGTGTTATGGAAGGGGAAGGGCTAGAAACTCAACCGACCAAGAAAAGAATCCAGCAATTCTTGCGCTATGTCCTTATGTCCAAAATACGCAGCTATCACCGCTGGGTTGTCCTCGCTGGGTTCAAGGCTTACAGTCACACCTGCCTCCTTTAATAAGTATCTCACTGCCTGCAGGTCCCCATGGGTGGTGGAAAGGCTCAAGAGGTGTGCCTGATTGGAGAAAGGGAAGAACAAACATGAGTAATGTTGAGATCGGAAGTCCTCAAAAACCTTCTTTCATAAAGCTTCAATTGGTTCATCAGCCAGTCAACCTATTCTCCAAAGTGCCTGAAGGCAGGACAAGAAGCAATGGATGGAAACTAATCAAGGAGAGAAGCAACCTAGAACTAAGGAGAAACTTCCTGACAGTGAGAACAATTAACCAATGGAACAACCTGCCTCCAGAAGCGGTGAATGCGCCAACACTGGAAGTTTTTAAGAAGAGACTGGACAGCCATTTGTCCAAAATGGTATAGGGTTTCCTGCCTGAGCATCCTTGGACAGGCCCATTGACCCTTGAGAATTGATGTTGAGTATATTGGGGAACACTGGTTTAGATAGTCTAAAGCCCATTTTTAATCCCATATTCTCCTAGGAGAAACCATAGTTATTATTGTTCTTCATGCTTTCAAACTGTGGTGCTGAAGAAGATTCTTGAGAGTCCCTTGGACTTCCAGGAGATCAAATCAGTCAATCCTAGAAGAAATCAACTCTGTTCTATGAGCAGATATTCCCACTAGGTCTCCCATCATCAATTCTGCCTCCTCTTCCTCATAAGTATTTTGCATACACAATCAAACTTCAAGATTCTACAAAATTGTTCTCTTGACCTCCTCTTCAGACTTTCAGGGGCAGATGTAAATTTCTCCATTATCTCAAGTAAACCCAAAGATGCTTTTTCAGGAGGCAACTGGACTTTCTTGTTTTTTTCTTTGAAGACTCAAGTGTCCCTGATGACACAAACCCTCAAGGACTCTCTAAAAGGAGGCAAATGACCAGCTGTCCGCAAGGAATATAAATCCTTCCATTTCCCCACCATCCGGTCAGAGCAGAAGAAGCTTCTTGGATGAGAAGCGAAACATCTTCAAAGAAAAAAAACAAGAAAACACAGTTGCCTCGCGAAAAAGCACCTTTGGGACAACCTGGATGATCTGGAAGACTGAGAATATCCACAGCCATCTCTCAAGTAAAGATGGTCCAGCTCCTAGGTCCTCACCTTCTCCTCTTGAGAGAGATTCCTCCGGCTGGCCGCTTGGACCAGCTGTAGAGCAGCCTCAAAGTCTCCACTTCGGTACAGACTCTGAATGGTCTCGTCCCCAGAGGTCTGGTCAGGGGAGAAAAACTCTGTTGTGGATTGTTGGCCACCCATGTCCAGCGTTTCTGTACACAAGGGGTAAAAGAGAAAACGGGGTTGTACCATTTAACAGGAACAACAACAACAGAGACAATAAGTAAGAACAAGTAGTCTTTGACTTAGAACCAAAGAGAGAAGCTACCTAGAACTAAGGAGAAATTTCCTGACAGTGAGAACAATTAACTAGTGGAACAACCTGCCTCCAGAAGCGGTGAATGCTCCAACACTGGAAGTTTTTAAGAGACTGGACAGCCATTTGTCTGAAATGGTATAGGGTTTCCTGCCTGAGGAGAGGGTTGGACTAGAAGACCTCCAAGGTCCCTTCCCACTTTATTTGTTATTATTATTCTTAGTTCATTTAGTGACCGTTCAAAGTGAGAAAGGCACTGCCAAAAGTGACTTAGGAGCTTTTTTCACACTTATGATCATTGCACCATCCCCATCTGATCAAAATTCAGACACTCGGTAACTGGCTCATATTTATGATAGTTACCAGCGTCCCGCAGTCATGTGATCACTTTTGTGATGTTCTGCCAAGCAAAGTCACGGGGGAAGCCAGATTCACTTAAGAACTGTATTACCAGCTTATCAATTCATTTAACAATTGTGGCAAGAAAGGTCGTAAGAAATTGGGCCAAGCTCACTCAACAACGGTCTCGCTTAGTAACAGACATGTTGGGCTCAATTGTGATCGTAAGTTAAGGACTTACCTGTAACCAGGAACTAGAGTTTTGCTCAAAGCACTAAAAGTTTATTGCATGCTATCTCTATAGACAGCATATTTTATATCCTGCCGGTGTCACTTTCATTCTGCTTTGAAGCTTAAAAAAATAGGCAATAAAAAAAACCTTAGTCAAACTTAATCAGCATTAATGTGGCAGATGAAAAGAAAGAGTGGAAAGTCCATGCAATGTAAAAATAGGTATATGCTTTTGAAATGAAAGGAGCAAAACAACTTCCTTATATTTCTATTGATGGTACTTTCCATGGGGTGACTCCTAACCAAACCAGGTACTGTGTCAGGCTGTCAAGGCCAGGAAACAAGTGTTTTACAACTGGAAGAGGAGGAAGAGGAGGAGGAGGAGGAGGAGGAGGAATGTAGGGTCCTTGGTGCTGTCTGAGTTTCTGGTTTTCTTGCAGACATTTCATTACCAAACTAGGTAACATCATCACCGCTAGAAGGGAATGGGATTGATTGAATTGTATATATTTATTTTCTTCCATTCATTGCTAAAAGGACAACTGTCATACAGGAATACATCAAGGAGGCAAAGTAAAGTAAAGCAGACTTTAGGGTTATCTAGAGAAAGTGAGCAAATACCCTTGAAATCGGGGCAGCTTCAGCTACCCATCAAATCTTCCTCCTCAATTATTCAAAAGAGAGTTCAAATCTCTGAGACATTCGAGACAGCTTTGGGGGAGTTGCAAAGAACATCAGTCATTTTTGCAGTGTAATTCTCAGGCCATCCAGGGTGCTTGAAGGATGCACAGAAAACGGTAGGAGCTCAGAAATCCAGGCAGGCAAAAACTGAACACGTGAGCTGCAGACCGGCTTCAGCCACCAGCCTGCATTTCATTACCCAAATTAGGTAACTCCCTCAGTGCTAGTCAGTATCCCTGAGGATGTTACCCAGTTTGGGTAATGAAACGTCTGCAAGAAAACAATTGAGCTCAAAGAGCACCAAGGACCCCCTCATTTCAGCCCTGAGCTATAAATATTCTCCTTTATGCATGCTTCTATATGCAGCACCTACCCAAAGTCACACATGCTTTCTTTTGACCCAATGGAGGATGGCAAACAGCATTAAATTACCTGTGATACCCTTGACTTCATGTTCATGCAACCAAATGTGCTGTTTCAGCTTTCTGCTGCCACCAATTGAGAATCCTAGCCAGGATAGAGTCCCATCAGAGGATGCACGTGAAAGATCTCCCATCTCGCATCATCTCCCATCATCCCCCATCATCTCCCATCTCCCATCTCCTCCTCCTCCTCCTCCTCCTCCTCCTCCTCCCCCCCAAACTCATTCCCTTTGTATTGAACAAAGCACTACCAAATGGTTGATGAAAATTAACCACCAAATGGTTGATGAAAATCCGTCTACAGTATTTTTAATTGATAATGAAATCCAACATCTGGAACAAACCGCTGATCTTTACTGCAGCTATAAACTTCTATATACTTCTACCATTGAGGGCTTTTAATGCAACTAATACAAAAATGGAAAACGAAAATAAAACAGAAACCCATGCATCTCTTCTCGTTTTTCCTCTTTTCAATTTTTTTTTTTAAAAAAAGTAAAAGTAAGAAGAAACAGTCCGATGATTAAAAATGAAAGTTGGAATCATCTGGACAGCTCTCTCTCTCTCCCCTCACAGAAATGTCATAACAAGCACAGAAACTATACAGTGAAAACCCCCTCTGGAAACCAACAAATCACGGTGTTAAGATGCAACCTTTAAAACATTTTTGTCCCCTGTAATATTAACCCATTTTTAAAGTCAAAGGCAGGTTTGCCCTGATTTTTCCTCTATTTTCTGCCGTATAAAAAAACTGAGCAGCAATTACATGAATCTAAGCACATGAATGAAACCGAATTCAAGAGCAATTGATGGGATTATATAAACATAAAGCAAATAGGAGTGAAATTAAATCTACTCCAGATGTTAGCAAGCAGAATAAATAAGCAGGTACTTTAAATGTGGTGACCTCCAAGGTCCCTTCCAACATTATTATTATTATTATTATTATTATTATTATTATTATTATTATTATCATCATCATTATTATTATAAATGTTTTATAGATGGCACTTGCCACTAGTAAGATTAACAAAAATGTTTAAAAATATGTTGGATAAATGTTGGAAATGTAATCACAAACCAGGTACTTATTATCATTTATGATGGAGATGTGTCAAAGCAAAGAAATATTGGACAAAAATACATACTTAGCTAGAAAAGATGCTGGGGAAACATGTAGACTTTAAAACTGATTTTTTCTAATAGGTATAATACCAGAAAAGCTTAATAAACAAAGTATATATTTGATTTTGCATGTGACAACAGCAGCAAGAATTGTACTTGCACAATATTGGAAAAATGAAGAAATACCATCGGAGGAAGAAATAATTAAAAAAAATACTAGATTTTGCAGAAATGGAAAGACTTACTTTGAAATTGAAAGAAAAAGAAGAAATAGAATATTTTCAAACTTGGGACTTATTTTACCAATGGTTGGAAAAATGAACTAGGGATTAGGAATTTAATTTGTATTAGTGAATGATATACTCAGACAACAGGTTTGTTGAATGAGCACTGTTGAATTGTATTAAAAATTAATAAAAACTTTTAAAAAGTGGAAGAATGGAAGAATTCAGAAGAATGGAAGAATTTAGGCTACTCGTGTATATTCCCACAATATGTTTATGAAGTTTTTGAGCTGAGTTTCTGTAGTCCATCAACCATCAGCAACTGAAAGAGTTGGGCTGGCACACTGTGATAATCACCCCCCAAATCAAAACATGGTTAACAGCAGTCAAGTTTTGTTGCAAATGCAGCTGCTAGCTCTTAAACTAACTTGGTTGAGTGTGTTTGGTCAACAATCTGTAAGTATGTCCCTTGGGTTGGAGAAGGATGGTGTGATGGAGAAAAACACAGATAGGGAAATCCATGTCCATCTACCCATCCTTGTTCACGCTGGTCCATGTAAGGATTCATCCTGCTTGACCAAGCCCTCCATTGACTAATGGATAAATAGAAATAAATAGGCATGCTGGTTACCTTCTTGCTCCACTCTGGGATTCTCGCCATTTTCTGCAGATTCCTCTCTCCCGACACACCAATACATTCTTGGTGCTTGACAGTCCAAGACATCTAATATCGGAAACATTGTCTGCAAAGCCAGACCAGTGTATCCATCTTCAAAGCACCAGGCTATACATCACAGCTCAGAAGAGAATGGTTCTGTTGAGAGAGAGAGAGAGAGAGAGAGTAATCCAAATTAATTTTCCTTTATTAAACAAATCAATAGAGAACAGTAATAATGATTAAAGTATTTTTTTTTAATGTGAATCTAGCTTACTTCAGGAACATGGGATTTAAATATATTACACTTTCTCTGAAGCGTTTTAGCCCCCTGTTCCTGGAAATCATTTTAGTGTGTTGTATTAACATTAATACATTGTAATGAATTGGTTTTGCTGAATTACTGTATGGGTTTTGTACTCTCTAGCTGCTTAAAGAGTTTTGAGGCTTACTTCCAGCCTCAAATTCAAATATATTACGTCTTCCCTGAAGTATTTTAGCCCCATATTCCTGGAAATCCCATGGAATCTATAAAAAAAATATATATCGAAAGCTAAGAATTATGATGGAGAAAGGAAACAACAGGGCAAATTAGGCTAAACATTCTGATCTATTGCAGAAGAAATTTCAAAAAGCAGAGTTTAAATGGAAAAAAAATAGTTCAGAACATCAAACAACTTCTGTTTAAGCCTCAAGTTAAGAAAGATTGGACCTTATCTAAATCTGCTCTTCAAGCTTAAAAGCTTTGGACCTTTCAGCAAACTTCCAAGAATCTATAGCACTGTTTTGCAAATAACCGATAAAATGCCAAATCTTTGCCACCCCCTTCAAGAGCTCTGCTTTTGCAGTTCCCCTTTCGTTATGCAAATGCCCGCACACTTCATCAAACAACAGAGCAAATGCTTAGAAGCTCAAAGATTATGCAGCTCATGCTTTCCCAAACAGCCTTCCAGACCCTAAACTTCTGCAGGGAAGATGCATCAAATACCAATCTTAAAAAGGACTCAAAGTTATTCCCCGTAAGACCACTACAATATGAGATGTTTGGTAACCAAGATCTTTCTTTTGGCTTTGGGGGACGGGAATGATCTGCAGCACTCAAATTATTTTTCAAGGGCTCCCAAGGAAATTCTAACCACAACAGCTCAACACGGATGGCAGTTTCCTGCCATTTGGAGATCTCTAACGGTCACACACAAAGTGGTCTCGTAAACCTTAAATGAGGTTACTCTGCAGTAGTCAGAATACAAAGAAAATTCTTTAAACTCTCTGCCTTCAATCAATACAAAATGTTCTACAGATGGCATTTAGCACCGGTTTGAACGCAAACCCGGAATATTTTTATTAGGCATAATTAGCCCAAAACTCGAGAAACGACTCCAATACATCATTATACTTATTATAACTGCAGCACGCATTGCATATGCACAGTGTTGGAAAAGGGAGAACATACCAACAAATGCAATGATTGTAGGTAAGATATTTTAGACTGTGCTGAGATGAACAAACTTTCCTTAGAAATAAAAGACAAAGAAACTACAGAATTTTATGAGATACGGGACATGTATTACAACTGGCTAGAATGGCAGAATAAAAATGTATGAGAAGTAATGTAAATAAATGTAAATAAACCTAAGAGCTATATGGCATAGTATTGTTAAGGGAAAAGGGAAAATGTATTGTGTATTATGTTTGTTTGTAAAGAAAAAAAAAGGAAAAATAAAAATAAAAATAAATAAACTCTCTGCCCTCAGTTCAAAGGAGGGAAAACAGAAAAGCTGATCTTACCCACTTTGCACTATATTTCTCCCAACCCATATTATATATGGACCTTGGCCATCAGCCCTGGATTTTGGGAACCAAAATTTTTCACCTCTCATCCAAGAAGCGTCTTCAGTTCAGAAGCTGAAGAACTGAAGAAGGATCTTGAATGAGAAGTGAAACATTTTCAAGAAAAAACAAGAAAGTCCATTTGCCTTTTGAAAAAGCACCTTTGGGACAACCATGACCTAGATGACTGAGTATCTCCACAGACAAAACCTGCTGTTGTTAAACTCCAAGTCTGGGTTAACTAAGGATGTTTAGCACATCAGTGATCATGTGGTTATGGGTTCAGGCTACATTATTACAACAAGGAAAAATAAATGAAAACAGATTTCTCTGTTTATATACAACTGAGTTGTTACTCGTAATCCATACAACAGATTGTATAGAGTAAGCCTGTTTCATCTTCACCATTTTACAAATAAAGGCCAAAGACACAGAGAGAAAACTTTGGGTTCTGGGTTTGGCAAAGACAGTCATTCTGGTTTATTGAATAATTCACTGTCAAAAACAAATTTGGGTTAGCCTGATCTGCATGAAACAATCTGGTAAATTTGGCTCCCTCAGAATGTTCCCTGGATCCCTACATCATTTCAAGGCTATTGATCTGAGTATCCAGCCATAGGTTTAGTCATCTCAGTGACTAATACATAATTCAATTCTGTTCATCATTTTATTCATCACTCATACTCTTTGTTTTTAAAATAATTCACTGTTCTGGTAGTTTATATTTTGATGCCCATTTTATATGCTGCTTTTGTGAATTTTTATGTACTAATGCTGCATTCTGTCACGCCGTGCAAAATAATAAACTTGGTAAATGCAACCTACAGGTGAGATTATGTCCAAGTTTCTTCTTATACATTTCCTAGGTTAGGAGAATGTATAAGGTTTGGTTTGTCAAGGTTACAAAAGGCTGAATTACGATCTCAGCAACTAAGCGGTGTCAAGTTTGAGAAAGCAGTGAGTACACAAACACACACACACACCCCTTGATAAAATATCTACCTGTTCCTTATCTCATTTATATGTTCAGTCATGAATTGAACTATAACTTTAAGATCTGTGACTCAGTCATGGTTCAATCAACAGGTGACAAAGCCTGGAAGTGGGAGACAGAATTTTCAGGCAGGTATTCTATCCTTCTCAAAGTCCAACTGTAGTAGCTCTGATAAAGTAAAGTTAAAGATTTCACTGTCAGATATGTCCGATTCTAGGGCACGGAGCTCATCTGAGTTTCTTGGCCGAGGGAGCCAGTGTTGTCTGAAGATGCTTCCATGGTCCTGTGGCTAGCATGACTACATGCCAAAAGTGCACTGAACACTGTTATCTTCCCACCAAAGTGGTACCTATTAATCTATTCATATTTGCATGTTTTGACACTGGGCTGGCAGGAGCTGGGAGCTCACCCCATCTTGTGGTGCTCAGCTCTCAAACCCAGGCATTAGCTCTCCAGCTGACAAGCTCAGTATCTTTAATCACTGAGCCATTGTGTCCCTTAGCTCTGATAAGGGGTGCCACTTAATGTGATCAGAAGTTAAGGCAGAGTCACAAGAGAACAAAAGTAAATAAACCATAGTTTGTATTCTGAAAGAGATCTTTGTTCCAATTACTCCGGGAAACAAAAAAAATACCTTTATTCTTTGATAACAGCTAAAGATATAATTTGCTTCCAACTTGGCTAGTCTAGATCAAAGTTAGAGGACCAAAAACGTGTAGCGTTTTCTTCTGTTATTACTGGACTGTTCCTTTTTTTAAAGTTCTAACTTGCTTTCCATCAGATCTTTGTTTTTCATCTGATACTCTGTACAAGCTCTACCCTCCCTGGATTGTTTTTGAGTTAAATTGATTTGTTTTTACTTCATGCTCTCTTTGCATTTTTTAAAAAACTGTACTTCTATAAAACTCAGTTCCTCAAAATATGCCAATGCTGGGATCGTCCCTCTTTTTTCTCATTGGTCTGCTCCGTCTTTCCAGTTATGACCTAAATTTTGTCTTAAAGGGATTGGCTCAGAAATGAGTTTACAATTTTATGGGAAGACAAAGTATATCACGGTGCACAAAACACCCTTTCATCACCAGTGTGAAAGCACTGGATGTGTTTATATCAGAGTATTTTTTTTTCTTCTCCTAGCAAGCTATTTTATAGAATTCAGCCAGGATTTCTTGGGAGACTTGTTTGATCTTCAAAATGAGCTGGCTTGGAGAAAGTCAGAAGTAATATTTTCCTGCAATTCAAATTTGCAGGAATTGCAATTTGCAGGAATTGACAAGGAAACAATGGATGGAAACTAAGCAAAGAGAGAAGCAACCTAGAACTAAAGGAGAAATTTCCTAACAGGGAGAACAATTAATCAGTGGAACAGCTTGCCTCCAGAACATGTGCTCCACCACTGGAGGCTTTTAAGAGGATTGGACAGCCATTTTTCTGGAATGGTCTACTATCTCCTGCCTGAGCAGTGGGTTGGACTAGAAGACCTCCAAGATCCCTTCCAACTCTGTTACTCTCCTTCAATTGTTCTGAGCCTATTCTGCAATGCCCAAAACTAGGATAGCTAATAAGATACTTAAAAATGAAGACATTATTTTAAAACAAGATGTTGCAAAGAGGAGGAATGACGATTATTTGCCTTGCAATGGAAATATGTAAACACAATTAGAAAAAACATCAATATTTCAAATTATTTTTGAACATGCAAAAATACAACTTCCTGGACTGTACTATTTTAGAATCAGGTGTGTGATTCAGCTACCCATCCCTGAACCAGCTCCTTATACAAAGAAACACAGCATATCAAAAAGAATCTTGAAATATATTTTACAGTTATAAATCTGCTGGGAAATCCTGAAGCCCTGGAATTTTAAACAAGATTTCTAGAGAACAGGCACTTTTTCTAGGGTTGAGAAGCAGCAAATAAACATGGATTTTGCAAACAATATTTGGAAGGTATTGTTGGGTCTTAATCATACATGGAGCAGGCCTACAGGAATCTATGAGATTTCAAAGCATCATGACTTACTAAAACCCACTCAAACTCATAGTTTACTCAGCAGACCTACTTAAACCATGGTGTTCCAACTGTGATTCAATGAAAGTACACTGCTGGTATGACATAAGGTACTTAGAAAGAAGTATATTTGGGCTACAAAAATCAAGTGAACAACAAGATGGCAGCAAAGAAGTAAAGAAACTGCTGCTTTTTCGAGGTAATTTGAGACTGGATAGCCACTTGTCTGAATGGCATAGGGCAGGGGTCTCCAAGCCCTGGTCTGTGGACTGGTCCTGGGCCGCAGCATGTCAGAAACCGAGCCGCACAAACAAGCGAAGACCCATCCACAGGATGCAGGCAGCACGCAATACCACGCCCCCTCTCTCCACAGACCTGGTCCCTGGTGCCCAAAATGTTGGGGGTTGCTGATATAGGACCTCCAAGGTCCCTTCCAAGTCTGTTACTCTCTATTCTGTGTTCATCAGAGGCGCAAAAAAGTATCCCCGAAGAGATTCTCCATTTTTGAAGCCTTCCCAAAGCTGTTCCCTCCCCAAAGACTGTAACCGTCGTCTTCTTCCTGTCCTATCCCTTTAATATCAATTCAGAATGCAACTCTGCAAGCCTAAAGGTTTCCTTGACCGGGAAATCAAAAAGGAAGCAAAGGCATGCTTTGTCTGCTCCCTTGACAAGCGTGGATATACTGTCAACAGGCAAGTATGCCAGACATCCCAGACAAAAACAGAAGCACGGTCCGCTTTCCCGCAAGCTGCTGCTGGGCGCTTCCAAACAGCTCCGATTTCGCCCCGTGGAACTTTCCAGTTGCAAGAGCGGCCGTCAAGTCAGCACGTTGGAGAGAGGAAGTCTAGGCGAAGGGCTCCTATGTAGGCTAACCTGGCCTTACCTGCCAGTGGCAGCTGCAGAAAGGGAGAGTGGTGGAAGCGAGGAGGAGAGGAAGAGAAAGTGAAGTCTCAACCCCCCAAAAGTCAGGCGGAAGGGCAGAGCTGGCACTTCAGCCTGCCTTAAGGCACCCAGATCTGAACTAGAGGAAGATCCCGACGAACACGCAACGGCGGCAGATTCAGACATCTGCAGGGTGGCCGTCTGGATTGGGGCAACGCCAAGCCTGCTTTGCCCGAAGCAGCGATGCTGGGACAGCACCGGAGAGGTGAAACCTCGCTTGCAACTTTTAGCACCGGGCAAGCCAGCCTCCGGGTCCCGCCAGCCTCGCCCAGATGCGCGGGAGGCCGGTGGAATCGTGGCACGATGGAGTCCGGCGAATCTGGAGGGTCTCCATCTCCGCCCCCCGTTCATTTTTTTCCCCCTTCCTCCTAGTCTTGGGAACTGGGCTGGGCTCCTTCTCCCGTCCTTAGAGACGCCTCCAACGATCGCAATCCTGAATACTGTCCTGGTTACCGACCGCGCCACGAGGCTTCCAGCCTGCGCGCACTTACCGGGGCCTCGCTCCCCACGCGCCCTCCATCTGGGGCGGCTTGCAGGGAGCGTGAGCGCGCCTTCGCCCTCTGGGGGCTTGGCAAGGGACCAAAACCGGTGGCGCTGCCTGCGCGCTGGGGAAACGGAGCCAAACCCGGAGGAGGAGAGGAGGAGGAGGAGGAGGAAGGAGGCGCGCCACTTCCTCGATTGCCCGGCCGGGGGAGGGGTCTTCCGGCTCGGCAAGGCGGGTCTGAGTGGCCGCCTCCGGCTTCTAGGGCGGCGCAAGGCGAGGACGGGCGGTGCAACCGTGGAAGTTCTGCGGCAGGCGAGCCCGGGCAGCGCACCCAGCTGGGTCTGGAGAGGAGCCAGAGCGCCGGGAAGAGCTGCGAGGGTTTCCGCTTAGCGCGCGCGCGCGCCAGCCTGGGTTTCCACCAAGCGTCCCCTCCCTTTGTCCATCCCATCCAGTGGTTTGACCCCAGGCATCACTTAACGACCAGGGGGTTGGACTAGACGACCTCCAAGGTCCCTTCCGACTCTCTTCTTCTGTGATTTCTTAGCGTCCGCGCTCTGCCTGCCTTCGTGTGATCTTGACTCTATCCCTCTATTAATGCAGCCTCTGATAATACAGAGGCCATTAAACCCTTCTAATTAAGAATAAATAAATGGGTGTAACTTTAACTATCGCATGATTTTTTTGTGACGTAAGTAATCCAAAGCCTAACATAGCTTCAAAAAGTCCATATATTTGGAGGTTAAATGAGTTAAAGAAGCATTAGTGAAGGTTGTAAGCAACTTTTCAAAACTGCCGATAGTTTTGCCGCTCTGCAAACAGAGCAATTTGTAAACGTAACTTAAAGAAAATGTTGGCTATTAGTGGCTTTGCAGACCTCAAGTCAGGACATTCTAGAAAGAAAAGAAAAAAATAATTCCTGGCAAGGGAAGCGTAAATACATTGTGTCCATGTAAATCCATTAAAAACCTTTCAGTCAACGTGAATCAATCCTTTTCTTATTTATGATGCGTTGCTTGCAATCAAAGCAAGAGAAGTGAGAATTGTGGAGAACGTTACAACTAAATGCAGGAGTTTCTTATGAGCAGCGAGCAAATCAAAGGCACCACTGCAGTTATTTCTTCCAGGGTTAAGTCAGTTTCCATGTTGCTGCTCTTGGCAGCTAACAGATGCTGGCTGCTGCAGATGGTTGCCCCAGGAAAATGTAGCCTAGAGCTCTGGAAATCTCCTTGAGTGATCCTCAACTTAGCAAATACATAAAAACTGAAATGTCAAGTTCTGGTTCTTAAGACATACAAGTGATCGAGTTGAATGCCCCCCTGCCCCACACCTTCTAAGTTCATGGCAAAGCTTCTAATCTCCATATCACTGACCTTTTCTTTTTCAATTGAGAATAGAGCTGGAAGGGACTTGAAGCAGGAGACCCTAGACCAGGGGTAGGCAACCTTGGCCCTTTCATGACCCGTGGACTTCAACTCCCAGAATTCGTCAGCCAGCATGGCTCAGCATGGAAACCTCTCCCTTTCCCCTCAGCATGGCTGGCTCAGGAATTCTGGGAGTTGAAGTCCACGAGTCATGAAAGAGCCAAGGTTGCCTACCCCTGTCCTATACCATTTCAGACAAGTGGCTGTCCAGTTTTTTCTTGAAAACCTCCAGGGATGAAACACCCTTCCTTCCTTCCTTCCTTCCTTCCTCCCCTCTTTTATATGGCCCTCCACAAGTGCATTGAGAGTCTTACAAGACTGCTGCACATTCAGACCTGCAGAATGATATCAATAGACCAGATTAGGAAACTAAAGTTATGAAAGCTGTCGCTACTTTTCCTGTAGAGATTCAGTAACAGAATGTGTCTCTCCCTTCTCTGCCATTATTCTCAAGAAAACTTGGCAGGGTCAAGACTTTCTGTTTTTTTTTCTTTTTCTTTTCCTTTCTGAGTTTGCATTGGTTTTTTTTTTACTATTGTTTAAAAATATACATATATATTTTTTTTAAAGTTCCATTTTGCAGTATATGGAATCTTCCCTTAAGTACAAGCAGGCTGGAGCATAAAAATTATATTTTATTAACTGTAGTGCTACTATTACAAGAGATAACTTTTAAAATAGGCAAATTATTTCCATGTACAATCAGCAATAGAAAAACATTAGATTAATTGTATTCTAATTTATAAATATATATATTTATATTTAAACATTTAATGATAATATTTCATATCAAAAGACAGCACTAACATGCAATGAAATAATATAAAGACTCTACAGGGCTGTACTTTACAATTAGTGCCTAACGTTTTAATTTCCAAAGTGTAAAAAAAAAAAAAAGAAAAATTCAGTGTGTACAAAACCATAATAAAATACGGTTAACCATCAATAATTACAAGACATTGAAAAAGAGTGAAATCACAACAAAGAATATATTTATTTCAAAAAGGAGTCTATAAAAAAATAAACTAATGATTCCAAATTGCACTGTAGACAGTGGTCATTAAATGCACAAGAGAGAGGCAATCACTTGTAGCTGTCTTATATTGCTTTTTTTTTTTCACCATCCAGAAAAAAAAGGGGGGGGGAATGTCTGTGCAAGTACTTGGGAAACATTAATGGACAAGAGACTCACAAAAGCATCTGGGATCCTTCCTTTTTTGTATTTGTGCAACATTGTGAAAACACTTTAGTATTTGCCGATAGTCAAATATTTGCCAGAAAACCCCCAAACAGAGACTAAATTATTAAATTGCAAAAATGCAAGTCTAAGTAATGTGGACAAGGATTTAGGGGTGTGGTGGAAGTTGCAAGTAGAAACAGTCTGTCATCTAGCCTTCAACATCTGATGAACGTGTTTTGTGGGACACTTGGGAAACTGTCCTAACTGAAGAAATATAAAAATGTTGAATAGCCTCAGGACTCCACTTGTAAATCCGTCCCCTAATCTGGGGTATCTCTTTGGGTTGAGTGGAGTTTGGTACTTGAAAAATATTTCCATGCTGGCCTTTCATTCTTTGTCTTTCTCCGATTCTTCCAGAAGTTTTGGACTTCAGTTCCTAGAGTTCCTAGCACCACAGCCAAAGACTAGGATTTATAGGAAATCAAGTCCTAACCCATCTGGAAGATACCAGATTGGAGGAAAGATCTTGCAGCTCATTGGACCAAATCTGTTCTTGAAAACCAGTTAATTCATTTTGACTTGGAAGGAGCAAACCTCTAAAAAAAAATACGTTTGGATTCTTTTTTAAAGGAAGGAAAATAGGCATCCCCCCCCCCTTTCCAGTTCTAAAATGTGCCCCTCAATCCTTGTTATATGTCAACATTCAGAGTGTCAAGAGTTTTTCAATCTCCATGCCTCCGTAGCTCAGCAAGTCTTCTGGGACAGTTTGATGGTGACTGTCTTCACTTCTGTGTATTCTGAGAGAGCGTATTCTCCTCTGTAGAAGAACAAGTTTTTTGAGTTTAAGTTACAAGTACTTTAGCATGCCTGGAAGTAACTCCATGTTTACTTCCCTCCGCACCCCAGTTTAACATACTAACGTGAAATGTCCCTCATCCTTGCAAGAGGGTAATCTTTCCAGAAGTGGCATGAAAAGGCAGATGGGCTTGGATGGACATCCTTCAGAACCAAAGGTGAAAAGAAACTATCTCGATGTTAAATTTCAACTCCTTTGGTTTTCAGAACATCTGAGTCAAATTATGATTGTGTTCTTAAAAATATATTCACATATCTGACAGAACAGAATCACAAAGGTCCATTCTCTGACATTGAGATGCATAAGGTACATGAAGGCTTACACCAGGGGTGTCAAACTCAATTTCATTGAGGGCTGCATCAGCATTGAAGTTGCCCTCAGGTGGGCAGGGTGTGTGTGGCCAGGGTGGGTGCAGCTTACTGGGTGGGCATGGATGGAGTGGGTGTGGCCTACTGGGTGGATGTGGATGGAGTGGGTGTGACCTACTGGGTGGGCATGGCCAGCTCTACATCATTCGCGTCAAGGATGCCTATGGGAGCCTGGGCAGGAGTGGGACAGATCTGAGGGTCTCTGGCAGAAGGAGGTGGGACCAGGGCAAGTGCCAAGGCATGGTCCATTTCTTCATATCTCACAAAGGATGACACCTCCCCAGCATGCACTCAGGGGGCGTGGGCCGACACGGCAGGGGCTGGTTCCTCCCTATTTCCAAACGGCCTTGTGGAGCTAAGACTGAATGCATTTCAGCATAGATGGCCACCACAAAATTGTACATTGGCTCCCAGCCAGCCTGGGCCAGGGCCAAGGCAGCGGGGGCCATTCCCTCACTGTTTGCAGGATGGCTTCGCGGGCCACATGAAACCACTTTGTGGCCACATCTGGCCCCCGGGCCTTGTGTTTGACATGTCTGGCTTACACACTCATGTACACTTTCAGCAGTATTCCGAAGAACAATTCTTGAATATTCTAATTATATTTAAATTTGTAGGGGGTAGAAAATCATTTTAAAATTCTTGGCTTGTGCCTCCGGCTCCAAATATGATTATCTTTAAAATTCCTGCATGCCTCGGAATCCAACTATGTGAACATGTGCCTCACTAAATCAACTTCCTTCTCCTTGGTTTTCCCCTGATGTTCCCCAGATGTGTGGTTGTCAACTCCCAGAATTCTTGGCAATGGTTATGCCCATAGGAGAATTCAAGAACCCAGTTCACAAATCCAGTTTGAGGCAATTGCTTTAACAACTTGTTATCCAAGTATTGTTGGCACCTTATATGGTGACAATAAAGGGACTTTTCTCTTTGCCAGTGCCCATTTGCAGAACAGCGAGTCAAAACCTTATTTGTCTGGATATTTTAAACTGGTTTATTATCGTGGATAATATGATCTGTTTATTTCCTGTCTTTATTGCTGTAAATAATACCATGAGAAAGAGAGAGAGAGAGAGACTCTTTAAATCAATCTTGACTCTTGGTGACTGTCTGGAGAGCCCCTTTAGTTTTCTTGCCCATTTCTAGTCTCTTGTTTTAATCACTTCACCAAACTGGCTTCAAACTATAACTTTAGGAATTATTTTTGTGTAGGTCATCTTGGTAAAATGAAGGGTGGACTATAAATAAAAATGCCACCCTAAGGATCATAGGCTTATGGCCTAAGTAGAGGTTTAATGAGAAATAATGTGTATTCTTTGGGAAGATCTGCAAATGCAAGGTTCATCCAGGCTGCAAGGTCAAGAGCACATGGGAATAAGGAACTCCAGGCCAAAACAAAAACCAAAACCAAAAACAAAAAAGCCCACCCTCTAAGCCAAGACAAAGGAAAATTAGATTCTTGATTCTTGTTCCTGCCATTCCCCAGCTTTATTTTCCTTCAAAAACAAGAAATCGGACTTACAGTTCTCTGCCATTTCCAGACATTTTAAAACCACCAAAGGGCGCTTGTGCAAAGAAGGAGTTGTAGCAATTGATCCTGTGAAAACCAAGACAGATTAGTAATTAATACACTCTACTGTATGGGAAGAGCTGTGCTGAGCCTTGCTGTGCTTAACTTCGTTTTGTTGAAGGAACCATACCGTTTTCTCGATGAAATAAATAACCGCTTTCTAGCTCAGTAATCCCTGAATCTGCTCTGATTTTGAAAACTTCAGAATTTGTTCATGCAAAGCAGGGGCT